CCCCGCCGCGCTCGGAAAAGTGACAGTTATCTGTCTCTAATCTTTGAGAACTTGCAGAAAACACGGGCCTAAATTAGCTAGTAAACTTTGATGTACTTGTTGTTTGATTTATTTACAGGTTGGGGCCTTAGCCTAACCCACACTCCTTTATGTATTTTCGCTTTAAAAAATTAAATTAAATCCCTTTGTGTAATTCAATTACAAGGTTGAGTGAGTTATTATAATGGAAATTTAGAAAACATGGTCTGTAGCTGGTAGGAGAGATTTGACAGCAACTGAGTTGCAGTTCATTGGATAATGACAACATTTTAAATTAGTTGGTGGTCTAAATCATAAATATCGATTTCAATGCATATAGTGAATTACTGTAATAATGCAACTGTAAGATAAATGAACGCCCATGTAGTTTTGGAAATTATCATTTTGGCGATCCTTATGTATTTAGAATGCTATCAATGTTACTACTGCTAAATATGGGATGTAAGATTGTTGATTTCTTGTGAATAATTCCAACTTTCTTGGATCTTCTATTTATCAACTGAAATAGCATCCTAATTTACCCAGATGGAAATTATTTTTTTACAAAGACAGTATTGGGTGATGCAGCATTATTAATGAATTATCAAGATGGAAATTGTAAATCTCCTCTTTACAGAAAATATTGGTTATGGTCTCTCCTTTCGGTAGTCGTCTCGTGCTGCTTTGACACCTACAATTATTTGTTTGTTAAAGCAGGAATGAAGTTTTGGTGGCTCCTAAACCCAAGTCGAAGAAGAAAACCAAAAAGGCCAAGTTCAAATCTTTGAAGAAAGAAGCTCTAGTTCCTAGATCCATGTCTGTGAAAGAAGAGTCATCAGTAGAACTAATGTCCATAGATGATGATTTAATCTATGATGAGGTGATCACATCCCCAGACGCTTTATCTCCATGTTCAACTCAAGACAAGAAACGTAAACCTGCTTCGGATGATGACGAGCCGAAGATAAAAAAGAAGTCAAAGAAAACTAAGGCTGCTGAAGTAGGACAAGTGATTCTGTACCCCAAACCTGCAAGCAAGCCTCAAAATGAACTCAAAGAAATTTGTGATAACGGTGTTGTGGATCTTGAATCTAAGCAGATAAGTAGGAGCAAGAGTCGAGTAAAACTTTCTATTCCCATCGTGCCTCTGAAACAAGTTTTCATAATAAAACCAGAGAAATTAAAAAAGAAAGGGAGCATCTGGTCCAAGGATTTTTCCCCTTCTCCCGATCCTTGGTCACCAAGGGAAGATGCTGTACTGTGTGCTGTTGTTCAGGAGTATGGCCCAAATTGGAACTTGGCAAGTGAAATCTTGTATGGAATGATTGCTGGGGGATCTTACAGGGGCAGATTTCGTCATCCTATCCATTGCACTGAGAGGTTTAGGGAGCTAATCCAAAGATATGTTTTATCTGTTAGTGATGCTTCAAATAATGACAAATCTGTTGGTGTTAGTTCTGGGAAAGCTCTGCTTAGAGTAACTGAGGTATGTTTTGCTTCAAGTAATTTTTTGGCTAGCTATTGAATCCAAAACAAATTAATTATCTACTGTAGAGCCGTTGACTTAGTTCTAACTGATTTGGATTACTTAACGTTATTGCTTTAACAATGGTATTAAGTATGTGTCAAGGTTAAGGCAATGTTTGGAAGCGTTTTGGATCTTATTTTGATTTCATTTTGAGGAAATATGTTTTGGGAGAATAATTTGAGAATGAAAATAATGTTTGTTTGTATTTTGGAAGGAGACAAAATACACTGTAGCAGTCAAATCATGTTTAAAGGTGTTAGAAAAAAGTATTTTTGAAGAAAAAAATTGAAAGATGAAGTGATGTTTATTTGTTTTTTAGTGAAGACATTTTTTACTGTAGCAGTCAAATCATTTTACTGTAGCAGTCACATCATGTCTGAAGGAGGGAGAAACTTTTGAAATTGTTTTGAGAAAATGATTTGAAAAGTGTAATAAATCCCATTTTGTTTTGGGGAAACAATGAAAACAAAACAAAAATGCATCGAAACATAGCCTAAGAGTTTTGAGTCTTAAACAGTCTACTATTCTCGAGTAAATTGATATTCTCTTGGTCAGTTTTGCTTGGTTGTAAATTCTTTCTTCCACGATGATTGTTGTCGTTATATCATTTATGGATAGGGTTTTAATATCATTACTTCTGGCTTTATGCAAATAGCTTAACAAAGACTCTTAACTTCTGGTTCTCCTTGAAGCTATCTCTGTTTTAGTGTCCGAAAAAATTTGGCTTTTTTCTATTAACATATAATAGATTTACGTAACTTCTGAGTCGCAATGATGAGCCTATAATTATGTCTGGCTCAACATATCTAAGCAGTTGAATCTTTTATTCTTGTTCCATCTGATTTTATTCCCGTGTTCTATTAATTGTACCTTGACTTTATAGTAAATGCTTGGTTCCACATTTCATATCTTTCAATTGGCTTATGACTTGTTTCATGCATTAGGATAACATCCGGGTGTTGCTTAGTATTGCTTCTGAAATACCTGATCACGAACCACTTCTCCAAAAGCATTTCTTGGCTGTGCTTTCTGCTTCTTGGAGCTCCAGTCATAAGAAGAGCAACGCACTATCTTTTCAAAATGGATTTTATAAGCTTACTTCAGAAACGAACCATCAGTGCTCGAAAACACCACAGCGCCTCGAATTTACTAATTTGCATCAGTGTGGGAAATTAGTAGCATCCGCCCTGAGCAGTGACTCAACACGCCAAACCGATATCGGATCATCTATCTTCAACCAGAGGGAGGAATTTTTGGTGCCACAAGAACGGTTGGATTTAACCCTTGAAATTCAAGGACAAATAAACGACGATCCACCCCTTCCCCCTGTCATTAATCTTTCAATTCCTGGCCTAGACCCTTCCCCATCTTTGAAGATGTATGCTGGAGAGACGCGCCATATAAAATCTTCACACACAGAGAACCAATTCAGGTATGACCTTACATATTTAGATTTTCAATTTTTTTCTTTCAAGAAAACACCCAGCAAGGGTGGAGGTTTATGCTAGGTACCCCTACCTGTCCATAAATCGAAAATCATTAAGTACATCGTAGTTTCATGCAAATTGCTAAATAGCCCAAAATATTCAGATTCTCAAAATTGTGCAGTGTACATTGGTCATTGTTGAATTCAAATACATCAACTCTCTCATTTCTCATGCATTTTTCTTACAAAATTTGCAGTATTTGTGTTTATGCTGCCCAATAAACATCCTTACATGTGATGCTTTTTTCTTACAAAATCTGCAGACATGTTGAGGGTTATCTTGGTGGGGAATCACAGAGTTTTACGATGGGTGGAACTTCACAATTACAGCATCTGGGGAAGCACAAGCTCCCATTTGCTGAGTCAGGAAAGCCTTCGAAATCGAAACAGAGAAAAACAAGTAAAGATCAAAATAGTACCGATCAGCATTCTGTAACCGCTAATGAGGTATTTAGAGATATGCCAGCTGTTCAAGCGGACCCCGGTACGAGGTTTGATGAGTTCTTGACCTGCTTTTCTGATGCTGAATTTGTTGGTAATTTCCTCCTTGATGTTGATGGTGAAGTTGCTTCGGTGGGCAATTTAGAAACGGCCCCGTTTGACTTGGGAACAGATTTGACATCTGAACTAGATGATTTTTCTATGTTACCTGAATTTACGGATATTGGATAAAAAAAAAAAAATAGCAAACGAAAAGGCACTTCATAGTTTGATCAGGTCAGAAAGGACCATGGCCATGTTTTTTGAATGGCTAAAATCTCAGGAATGAGAGAATCTCCCGGTCGATGATTGTATATTCATTACTCGAGGCTTGGGAATGATTGCTGTGCTGTCGGGGGATTAATCAAAGAGAGAGTAGCCTTTTTAGATGTTGGAAAAAAATTGCCGTTACGAAAAAGGTGAAGTCTAATATAATACCTGAGGGGGGTATAACAAAAGTATCAAATCTAGGGTTTAGAAGTTCGAGAAGGGATGATATAATGTCATGTGTAGAGAAGGATGCAACATAGTGTTTTCGTAAGTGGTCAGTTTCGTAAGTGGTCTTTAGTTTTTGCTGCTTTACTAATTTTTACGGCGATGGTAAAAATGTGCACGCAATTTTGGAAGAATATTTTTGAAGTTCTATTCATTAATCAATGCCATGCTGGCGAATTATCTGCCTGGAAATGCATCTAACAAAGTTTGGTAACCATTTACAGTTCGATTTTTGAATATTGCACCACCAAACATGAATTTATGATTTTTGTAGATTGTCCGATTATAGAACAAAATATGAACGAACATGTCTCTCTTTATAAATCTTTCATTACTTTTTAGTTTTTACAAATCTTTCAATCCTAAAAACAAAATACAAGTTAATATTATGAAGAAAATATACGGGACGAAGAATACAGACTTTGGAATTCTTGAGAAATTGTTGGGAAATCAGCTAGATAATCTAATCTTCACATAAGAAATAAAAATGGCAATCATACCTAAACCTAGTTTGCAGACTCAATGAACAAGATAGAAAATAAACACAACGCGAAGGATGTTCAGATTCGATGTGAATCCTACATCCTCGGGAGCAGAGACAGAATTAAGGAAGAAATAGATAGGAACTAATTACAAATACAACTGATAAGAGAGACAAAAGTTAAGTGTATAACTGGAAAATATGTAGTTAATGCACCATTGAAATTGTAAAACGGGTATTTTGGAAGTGTATAACTGGAAAATATGTACCATTGAAATTCTTTTTTTTTTTTTTTTTGAGAAACACCATTGAAATTCTAAAAGATAGATAATTTAAAATCGTAGAGAGTATTATATAAAGGGTATTTTGGACATTTATGGTAAGATTATTATAAAAGAAAATATATTGCGGTGCTGTGAGATGAGATAAAAGGGGGGTCCGTATAAAAGGAAAAAAACAATTTTGGGAAGCGCGTTCCGAAATATTTCAAACGAGGGGGAAAAATCGGAAAGGAAAACCCTTTTCCCACTTTTCGTTCCTCTAAACCCTTATTTTTTCTGATTTTTCACCATTACCCTATTCAAATTCCCCTCCAAAACTTGTCATCGATTTAGGGTTTTAATTATTTTTTCACCGATTCCTTATACTTTTTTTTCTCAATCAATTTTGAAGCCCTAATTTTATGTTTAGTGGAAGGTTGAGCGATGGCGCAAACGGTAAAGAAGGATATGATTGGTCGGGTTACTCGAAGCAGTTCGCAGAACATCAATGAATCACAAGATACGACAAATCACGGCAGAGCTGAAGATGGTGTTGTTGCACGCAGGATTCTTCGCTCCAAATACCTCAAATTTAAGAACCGGATTAAAGGTAATTTAAACCTCCCCTTAATTTAATTTTTTTGAAATTTTTAGACTGTAGTTACAATTTGGTCAGATGGTGATGCCAGATTTGGTTGGGTTTGTGTTCATACGAGGAGATTTCTGCTTTGCAGGAGTTGAATTCGCTTAATTTTTTTAGATTTACTAAACTACTAGCTTTTTTAGATTTTATTGACTAACTATCGAAATAGTTTCTTACAGGAAGGTTGTGTATTAGTCATTGATATGTTCAGTGCAAATTGAAGTTGTCAATTCAATGCAAAGTTTATCTGTATGGGTAAAAAAGGTTATAATCAATTATATTTTCTTATGCAGATGAAAGAGATGATATATCAAAGGTTGATTCAGATAAGTTCAAATCAATTCTTGAAGAAGTTGATGGCTTGCATCGGCAAGGTATCGGTTGGCAAATAGCTATTTTATTGCCTGTTTCCTTTTCTATTCTTCTTTCCGTAAGTAGCTTATTGCTGTTATAGATATGAAGGTACTATGCAGTTTTCCATGTAAAGGGGTTTGCAATGTATTTATTAAGTCGTACTTGGCATGATTGTTAAATTTGCTGCCATTTAAAGTAGAAGAATAGTTAGTACTGGCCAAAATTTGCGAATTCTTCTCAACTATCGTCAAGTTGGTGATTCGGTAACCGAATGATATAAATAATACTGGTTTGCGGTTATCAACTATTATATGCTGTTCATCTTTTAGTGTTGTAAAACGATTGTTGGTTGCTTTACTAGACTAACATTGTCCCATTGCCTTTTCTTAATCTACTTTTAGTTCTGACTTTTGTATATTTTTGTTCAGTACAAAAACCCAGGGAACAAGTAGCAGATGCTGAAGCCTTGTTCGACATTACAAACACATTGGTTACCTCTGTTAAGGCATTTAACAGTGAGGGCGTCACACCTGCAGATTTTGTTAGCTGTCTTCTTAAGGATTTTGGTCAAGAAGGTGGACAAAGCAGCAGCCAAGACGAGGTTAGGAGTTTGATACGCTGGAAAGACATCGGTGAACTGGTCTCTCATGTTTTCAGAAGCACTCCTAGTTGTTGCACAATGTAATAAACTGTTTTACTCCTTCCGCACTTTATTGTTTTATTTTTTTTTTATTCGATTAACATGATCCAAAATTTATTGAATCTTCATTATATCTGACAGGATTGGGCCTATGAACACTGAACTGAAGCAGCGTAAGACGGCTGTTCATAGAAAGCGTGCAAAACCAACCGAAAATGCCCGTCCTGAAGAGGTAAAATCTTTCTCCGTATTTTTTGTAAACTTGTAGTAAAATCATATTTGAACTTTAGGGGAATTGATGTACGTGTTTTTTATACTGTTCGTAACTGTAAATCGCTTGAGCATACTCCAACTTCTTAGTGCATTTTTTATTCCTGCATAGATATTGTTTGGTAGTGTTGTGTGGAAAGTTTCATGTCCTAAAAGACGAGGCTGTGTGATGATATTCAAAACTGACCTGTTATTTTATTCGCAGATAGATGCAACTGGTAATAAGGAAAAGACTGATACGGATAAGAACATGGCCACTATGTTTAATATTCTAAGGAGGGACAAGGACATAAAGGTCAATCTTGAGAATCTGATATTGAATCGGAAGTCCTTTGCACAGACTGTTGAAAATTTATTTGCTCTATCTTTTTTGATAAAAGATGGGCGTGCCGAGATATCAGTGGATGAGGCTGGGCGCCATCTAGTTTGTAAGTATCTTGTTCTCACGCTCATATAACGTATAACAATTTTTGTTTCCTCGTTTTTTCTTTTTCGTACCTTAAATCGCTACTCGTTTCAGCCCCAAGGAATGCGCCTAGAGCCAATGCAATTCTATCTGGAGACGTCACTTACAGCCATTTCGTATTCAGATTCGACTTTCGAGACTGGAAGGTACTTAGTGATAAATAATAAATCAACTTGTTTTGCAATCTATCATTTCGTATTCGTTAGTGGTGAAATTTGTTTGAAGATTTATATGATAGAATTCTTAAGTGATGTAATCATAACTCAATTCCTCGTTTGACTTGCAGTTGATGTTGACTTCTGTTGTGGCTGGAGAGGAACTAATGCCACATAGAAGAGAGGTGAATGAAGAAGAACGTAATGTTCGACGAAACTTGGAATCCGAAGACGACGAAGAAGAAGAAGCTCAAGCAACGATGGCTACGACACCGATAAGGAAATTGTGCAGGAACAGAGGATTGGTAATGCAAGAGCAGTCGGTGGTCGAAGATTCTCCCGAAAGTAACGATACGGCTGCTGGTAGGGCTGCTGCGATTCGGAAAGGTAAGAGAAAACTAATGTGAAGAATCTTTAATTAATTAAATCATTAAATTTTGGATTTTGTTTTGTTCTTCTAGTTTTATATGCACCAGATTAGTTAGGCCAATCTCTCCTTGGTTTCATGTACAGATTTAAGAGTTGTTTCTTGACTAGTTATTATAATAGACATATTTAATACTAATTATATTCAGTGTTCAAAAGTATTTAAATGTTTTAATGATTTTTTAGCAAATAATCGTGGGCTATTTCTTATACACGATTTTTTGTTATTTTCTTGGACTATTATAAAATTAAGGAAATAATTTCCGAATGAGCTATTTGTTGACTACTTATTAATAGACATCTTCTATACTATTTGTTTAATTTATAAAAGTAATTTATAAAAGTATTAGACAAATAGTTTTAAAAATTATAAAATTATTATTTCAAAGTTTTAATTAGTTTTCAGTGTAAAACGTGTGGCAACTACACTTTTTGTGGTATATAGATATATAGTACATTCTTTAACGATTTTTAGCAAAATGTGTGTGCAAATGAGATTTTGTGTGTGCAACTATACGATTTTTTTGAGATTTTGTTAAACGAATTAAAAAATTGGAGAAATAATTTGCAAATGAGCGAATTTTTGACTAGTTATTCTACGTCAAAATTCTAGAAAACATCATTATTGTCATTAATTCTTTTTCCATTACTCTCGGTATATATTCGGTCTTCCAATGATGAAATCCTGATTTCACCATATATATATACATATATATATATATATATATATATATATATATATATATATATATATATATATATTACATATAATTAAGGTTAAATTAACAATCAATCTGCAACGCTATTTCAATTCAAAATTCAGTCTAAAACAACCAACACAATGAACATAAAAAGATACTTCAACCCCATTTCAAACTACAAATGAAAATAGCAGAAAATACAGAAACAAATTAAACGAGGCCAATGGCAATTACTTTTATTCCATAACAACAACAAAAAAAACTACATTAAATAATCTCTATCCAGTATAACCACCGCCGGTTCCGTAGCCAGTATTAGCACCGCCACCCACATGAGTATTGTGTGCGGTGGTCCCTCCAGTCCCGGTGGCCGTGCCGATGGGGTGCGACTTCATCGTCCCTTCCGTCACGTGCCCCGTCGGCTGCCCGGTCCCATGTCCGGGCAGTGCCGACATCTGGTGGGCGCCGGTGGTGGAGTGTGTGTACGATCCGCCGGTTTGGGCAGCCTGTTTGGCGGCGGCGTTGTGCTCACGCGCCTCCTGCTTGTTCATCTCAGCGTTGTGGATCTTCTCTTGCTTTCTCGCCGTCGCAATGTCCTTCTCCGTCGGATTGTGGGCCGTCATCTTCTCCATCTGTACTAATTCAAGTTTTATATATATATACATAATATTATTAAATTAATAAAAAAAACAATAGAGAAAATGTTATTATATTAATTAATGAATGAATTAGGGAACCTTTTCTTGAACGGTGGCTTTGGTCTTTTCCATGCCGGATTTGGCCGAGGCGGCCACGTTGGCGGCGGATTCCTTCAATGATTGCATTTTTTTCAAATCTTTTCTTTCTTCGGTAAATTCAGTGCTGTTTAGTGTGTGTGTTTGTGTGTGTGAGTGAAATATAGGAGAGAGAGAGAGGAGGAAAAATGGCAATAAATAGATATGGGACGTGCATGGGGAAAGGTGACACGTGGGAGATGAAGGACACGTGTGCTTCTAACATAAGCTACTCTATACTCGGTAAGGGACACGTGTCCTAGGAGTATGGGTTTCGGTTACACGTGGGAGTAACGACCTTTGTTAATTCGTTTTATGTTCATGGATGAGGACGAGTGGAAATCGGACTTCTTTGTTCACTAATTAAATATAGTGTTGAAGATTGGACGGCTGCAAATGTAATTTGACATTTTAGATATATTTTCTTACGCAAGTGGAAAAGACTAATTTTGATTCTGAAATTTCAAAAATTAATTAAACAAAAAAAATTCAAAATCATATTTTTTTTTATATAATCCATTACATTCATCTATACATAATTATATTATTAATATCACAAGTATCTTTAAAAAAAGTGAATCTTTAATTTTTACCAACTATTTTCGCAAAATATAATATTGGACCAAATCATGTCATATGAAATCAATGGTTCGGGACATATATCTTATATATATAAAAGTAATAATCATTAGAGTAACTTAAAAATCATATGACATTTTTAGAATTTACTATATAAGATTCTTTTCAAAGAAAATTAATAGATTATTTTTTTCGTAGCAAATCTAGTGGATTGTTTTCGATCCTAATTCACTATTAAATCAACAAATGAATTTTAGCCCTCCCAACAAATTTAACTACTCTTAATATTATTTCATATTTTTACTATATATTAATAATAAATAAATAAATAAATTCCAGGAGCCAACAAGCACAATTTTTTCTGCCATATATTTAAATAATTATTATTTTTTTCATTTTGAAATAGTGTCACTTATCCGGTATAGCTTGAATAAGATTGGACATTATCTTTTTTTTTTTCCTTAAAATATTAACATTTTTTGTATAAACTGATCAATGATAGCTAAGTCGAATTAAATTCGCATCGTGCTTAATTGATGGCAAGAAATTTTATTTTATTTCACATACATTAAAAAACACGTGGACTTGAAAAAAAAAAAAGAAAAAAAAATCACAACCCATGACTAATAACAAAGGGCTGCAATTAACCAAACTTAATTAATTATTATTACATCACATAAACCCTAATTTAGAAAGTGCTTCCCGCGCCGTGCCCGGTCCTAGCACCACCAGCAGCGTTCGGATCCTCCAACCCGACTCCACCACCGGACGCGGCCTGCTTGGCGGCGGCGTTATGCTCACGCGCCTCCTGCTTCTCGAGCTCGGCACCGTACTTCCTCTCGTCCTTCTTTTCTGTTGCCAGTTCCTTCTGGAGCGGGTCGCGCGTGGTCATCCTCTCCCCCTTTTTAATTATTTTAAAATTAATTAATTAATTAATTTAAAAAAATAGAAAAAAATGAGGTCAACGGTCAAATAACCTTCTCCTGCATGGTGGCCTTGGTTTTCTCCATACCGGCTTTGGCCGAAGCTGCTACGTTACTCGCTGTTTCTTTAGCTGACTGCATTTTCACCAAATTACCGAATATGCCCTTCTTCCTTTTTCTTTTTCTTTTTTCTTTTGTTTGGCTTGAGAATAATTTACAATTTATACGAAATAGTGATGGGCTTCGCTAGGGTATATATGGAAGAAATACGGGTGGGTGCACCGTGCACCGAATGAACACGTGGCGGCAAAATAGGACATGTTTGGTTGATTTTTTTGACACGTGTCGAACAGGTGTCAATTTTCAACGCCTGCTGTCTTTTGTTTTATTTTACCATATAAAAATAGAAAATTAGAAAGAAAAATGAGGATTGGCTTCTAGCCTTCTACTACCAATTCTTTTTCTTGGCAAATAAAACGAAGCCCATAATTATTTAACTGGGCCATATTTTTTTAAGAATACATTGACAAGAAATATTTTAAATCATACGGCCCAAATATTAGTGCACATATTAAATTATTCCTTGATTACTAGTGGACCTATTTTTAATTGCAATCATAATTGAAAAAAAAAAAAACATTATAATTTATGTGATCTCAACTTTTATATGAAATTATTAGTGCACATGTGACAACAATTTCCCACGTGGGGAGGTACGGATTACGGGCGGTTCACAATCGAGTATTGTTGGCGTTTGTATGTGTTCAATGCACTATAAATTTAGGGTATGCGTCTTTTCTGATACCAATTGATTTTAGGGCAACTATTAGCGTCTGAGGTCCTACATGTTGATCGGAGCCAAGGTCACATGTTCCATTCTCAAACTCGGGCAATTGTTAGCCAAGGTGAGGGGTTCGATTCTCAACTCAAGCAAATTGTTGAAGGAGAGATTGTTAGCTATAGTTTGACAACAACTGTGCACATGGAGGAGACCCGGGTATGAAGTCCCGACAATCGAATGCCTACTTAAATACCACCATAATTAAAACGAGAAACTACTTTTTCATGCTTTAGAATTGATGAGATGATTATTGTGTTCATATGTACTGAACATAAATTCTATTTAAAAACGCAACAAACTCTCATTACTCAAAATTAGAAGCAACAAACAAATGAATCAGGTGCCTTGCCATCTTTCTTGCATTCTAAAATTAATACAGGCAGATTTGCTTAAGGTTTATCTTAATTTTAGCATTATTGGTAGTTTGACTAGTCAAATATTTTTTTCTTAATAATAATAATAATAATAATAATAATAATAATAATAATAATAATAATAATAATAATAAAACTATTTTCTTAATAACTTATTACATATCTTCAGAATAATTACTAATTAGGTGTGATACAAAGAAATATCTTATATAAATAAAATAAACCTAACTAAATTAAACCAAACACCGCCCTTTGTATGATGCTATATTTTGTGGCCTGAAATGCTATTCATAGTGCGGTTTTTACCGGCTTGCAGTGCGATTTATTTCATTTGTAACTTTCCTAAAAAAAAACCAAATTCGCCCGCTATTTCGTGTATTATTACACGAAATACACTCAATAATTTCGTGTCTTTTCACACGAAATAGCGGTGTTTATTGTTATAGAACACGAAGGACGAAACTGTTAGATTAAAAAAAATCGTGTATTTCGTGTAAACGTACACGAAATGGAAGAACATATTTCGTGGAGTTTTCTACGAAATGGAAGACCATATTTCGTGGAATTTTCTACGAAATGGAAGACCATATTTCGTAGATTTTTCCACGAAATATGAAGTGACATTTCGGTAAATTCAGTACGAAATAACTAAAAATTCAAATACAAATACAAATTGAACTAGAATTCAAATGCAACTAAAAATTGAACTAGAATTCAAATACAACTACAAATTGAACTAGAATTCAAATACAACTACAAATTGATCTAAATTTCAAATACGAATAAAATTGAACTAGATTTCAGATACAACTACAAATTGAACTACCGACCAGACTTTAATTGTTCGTACAAGAGTAGTCGGGGTTTGTACGTTTTGAGTAAGTGCCTCAAGTTTTTAGCTCTATGGTGTACCCATGCCGGATGGATTGGTGGTAGTGGACTATTTGCGACCAAATTAACAAACATGAAATGATTGTTGTGCAATGTCACAACAATCATACATGATAAGTGACCACTGCCAAACATAGGAAGGTAAGTCATACTCCCTACTTGAGTCAAAAGTACCACTAATGCACTGTATCTGGTAGCAATGGCCAATCCCATTTCATTCATGTCCATCCAATAAGCTTGTGGACAAGGCCCTGAGGTCCAGTCACACTTGCGTATGACCTCAACGTATCCGGTACTGCCAAACATCGCCGTGTAGACACTAGCATGCTCGTATAACTCAATAAGCAACTCCCCTCTCACTTGCGGCCATCTTTCTTGATCCCCGTACACGGCTTGAACAACGCACCGGTACCCACAGTTGCCATCCGCCATCACGTTAACATAATCTTGAATAAGACGGACCATAAATCTGGGCACGAAAGAATAAAAGTCGATTCCTTCATGTGCAGGTATTGTAGGGGCAGCAGATTCTTGTGTGGGAATACGAGAACCACGACCTTTCATCTTCGATTGAGGCGTTCCATCAGTGCTTCTCTCAACCTTTGTTTTAGGAATCTTTGCACCAGATGAGGTTTGGCGACCCTTGGAACCACACGACGACTTAATTGTCTCCTCATCAATATGATACTGCCATCCAGAAGGGTCTCTCTTTGTCGAGTTATTCTTTGGTCGTCCTTTGGTCTTAACAAATGATGGCTCGGACAGATGCGACGTAGACGGATAAACGATGCCACGCAATGAGGCCACGGCATTTATCTTACTCGTGTAATTCATCTTCTTCAAATTGCAATTCAGGTCATCAATCTGTCTATCCACAATCTCCTCGCGGTTTACTTGATACTCAGGTAGCTCCGAAGGCTCAACTGCCATGGTACTCCAGAATGGATGCAAGTCTGAAATGACGAACGTGTCATTATCTTCCATTTTCTGCACAATTTTGCACGCGCATGGGAGCCCATGAGTATTCCAAAGATAGTGTGTGCAAATACTCGGATCTTGCATCGCCGGGGACTCCATCTCTTCATCCAATTTCTCTAATGCCAGATGCGTAACATAACAAATCAAACCCTGAAAACACGGCCATGCTGCAGTATGCTTCCTTATCTTGGATGATAATGAAAAATCGCACTTCAGCTCACTAATTTGGATATAAACTTGGTCCCGAAGTTTGCCTTGCACGTTATCCAGACCTCCGGTCGAAGCATTTAACCAACCCTTCGCTGAAGAATTAGCGCTCTCCACCCTATCCAATTACAACAACAATCAGAGCATACAACGACAATCAAATTACAAAATAAATATTATTTTTATATAATATCTTTTATCATTTAAATAACTAAAACATGTAATACCTGTTGGTGCTCGTGTTGCCAAAATGATACACATTGCGAGTATAGGCACGAACAAACTTCTCCTTGTATATCAACCACGTATCATTCAAATACTGTATCAGCCTAGGATACCCTGCATACCGTCCAACAATTTCATTGTAATTGTAATGATACTCTTCTTCGGTTTCTGATTTCACCAGCTTAGCCCACAGCACACGTCGGAATATTAGACCTTGGTCCTTGTTGCCTCCCATAAATTTCGTCGCATTTGCCTCAACATTTCTGTTTATATGGAATATACACAACATATGATACGAAAATGGGAAGACATTTGGCAGTGCTTTCAAAAGACCCAACTCTCTGTCTGTCAAGATCGCATCAGGTTCGACACCATCTAGCAACTCTTTCAAACAATTCAAAGTCCACTCGTAGGTGTCTGCATCTTCATGCGACATAAATGCAACAGCAATTGTATAATTCCTCCCAACTGGAGTTATCCCAATTATTTCCAAAAGAGGCATTCCATACCTACAACAATGTTGTTTTTACATATTTAAACAATACAAGACATTAAAACACAATAATCATAATTTGAACAATCGTAATTTTTACTTACTTATTGGTTTTGTATGTGCAGTCCATCAATATAACATACGGGAACAACCGTAATAACTGAATAGATTCGGGACATGCAAACATAATATCTGTAATCGTGTTGCTCGTTTCACTATCGACGCGATGCCAATATCGATACTCGCCTTTTTGAAAGTTATGCATCATAAACTGAATAACAGTCATGCCCTCCATTTCCTCAGATTTAATCTTGGCCAACTCATTGTAAACATGCTTCATAGAGGTTTGTATCGTCGGATCATCTTTTCTCAGTCTATCCATGATCAGCATTGGCTTCACGTGAGAATTTCGCAATTCTTTAATTCTTGCTTTCTGTTGCGGAGTTATACGACTAGTCGTACCTTGTCCGTGAGGAAACAAAGTCGGACGATGACTATGCCTGCCATCGCTGACAGTCAACCGCCATAATTCATCAAACCTTGACCTTTTGCCAATCAATTTGAACGGACAACCACATTTTTTTGTTCCTGAGTTTCTAGGATCTTCCACATCGATATTCGTTTGTCGGCCATGTCCGTATTTGTCACACGTCATGTACTGTGCATTCTCCCTTCTAGACTGACAAATCAAACGGTGACAATGACTAACTGCAGTTTCTTTCGCCCAGTTGATTAATTCTTCCCTACTGCCGAACACAATATCAACTTGGAAGAAGTGAGAGAAATCTTCATATTCCTTTTTATCCAAAACCGAGGGATCAAAATACAAATTGTCGTCATATGGCTGCGTAAATACAAAAAAAAGGTTAGATACTTGCACAAAAAAAATTAATAACAATACTAGGTATTTCGTGTAAAATCACACGAAGTATATGCATACATTTCGTGTAATTTTACACGAAATGTATTCATACATTTAGTATAGTACTGCACGAAATGAATAACAAAACAGTTTTACTGCTATTTCGTGTGACTTTACACGAAATAATAGGTATAATTTCGTAGTATTGTACACGAAATGACTGGAAAACACGAATAAAGTGTTCATTTCGTGCAAAACAACACGAAATGACTTGAATAATTTCGTGATATTCTACACGAAACGACTGAAAATCGAAAAAAATCACACTAAAACGTATTTTTTTACCTCATTTACGGGATCGATGTTGGCCATCTTGATAATCGTTGGGTTTTAACTGATTTCTACGAAAACAAATCACGATCTACGAAAGTCGAAATATTTGGATGTTGAGAGGATTTTGTAAAAGGTTAAAGTGTTTTTTGACAAATGAATTATTTCGCACTGTAGCTGGAAAAAACCGCACTGATAATAGCAAGCCCCTTTTGTGGCTGTGCATATAACTCCGTTAGCATGATATTTTAAATTAGGTACATATTAAATTATGTTATGTATGCATTTACATTATATAATTAATTAACCACTAAAAATAATAACATTGCTTGCAAATCTTAATTAAATAAACGATAATACGTATATGTAAACGGTATACCTGCCGACTGCCTCACTAATTAATCACTTAATCTTTTTATTAACTTTCTTTTAATTATTAGTGTTTGCTCTATCAAAGTAATAATATATTTTTGTGGCATTTTTGGTTAATGATTTGTCTTTTCCAATTATTAGAAAAAGAAAAAATTGCATGTGCAACTTTGGCCACTTTCGAACCATATAAAAAAAAAAAAAAAAAAAATAGGCCAATTTAATTGACAACTTTAGGTTATGACAATGAACCCTACCCATAAGATTGTGCTTAAATTAATTAGTGGTTTGTTAGGACAATATCATGATATTTAAATAGGTTGTGGGCAATTAATAATATATACTTTTCCATTTGTAATAGTTTTGAATAATATATTTATTATTTTTGTATGTAAGATTGAGAATTCAGGTGTTGATATTTTAATTTTGGTACAATTTAATTAATCTAAAATATAACTTTAATTTATAATAAGAAAATTCGAATTATACTAACACCCTATATTTGATATGACACAATTTAAATGATATGCAGAAGAGTGTATGTTGCTATATTGAAATAGAGTTTGGAGTAACAAAGCAATTAATGTATTAATTAAAATTTAAAGTATAGTAGGAAAAGTTTGGTGCTAGTCATAAATCATAATTGAGCCCCAGCTTAATTAATTTTTTATATCAATATTGAGTACCTGATATTCAATTATACTGGATTTCAACATCATAAAAATGAATATAATATAATATAACTAAAATATAATATAATATATGATCATTAGGTGTAACCTTTTTTAATTTCATTAAGTGTATCGATTATAAATTATAAACATTTAAATCAATAAAAATAATTATATAGGAAAAATTAGGCTGAGTTAAAACAAAATAAAATAAAACTAAACCTTGCGGCGCAGCATCAATTTAAAAATAAAAATTACAACCCACTTTCAATATTAATAAGGTAAATTGCATTCATCTTCTATTAAAAAAAGTGTATATATAAAAAAGTCCCTTCTTTTTGAAAAATTACATCCAGACCCCTCCATTTTATAAATTTCTTATGTCCAACCATTAAAAAAGAGTGTTAGTGTAAGAAATTTACTAATTACATGAATTGAATTAGTTATAAAACAACAATTGTGATGATGTTCATCTTAAGTAGTTGAGGTAGAAGGAGCTTGAAGAACAAAGCGGATCACTGCTTACGTGCAAGATGATCTAGAGATACCTGCGAACATAGAACACGTGAACTAGACCGGGGTTGATTCGGCGAAAACTCCTTTGACGCTCAAGTCAGACGTGCGGGTAGTAGAAATAGTTGAGAGGATACGAATTTTAAAATTATCCAGATAATATGGCGTACATTTAATAAATAAATTAAATCGTTATTTATACATTGTCGATTAGGCTGATGTTAATTTTATTGGGCCCAAGCCATATTTAAAGATTATTGGGCTTTTGTAATAGTGTTCTTCTAAATCGGGCTCGTAGCCCGATAGATAAATAAATTGTAATCTTATTGGACTGGCTAACCAAATAAGTTTTTTCTTATCTTAGGGGCTGGTTATAATATACTCCATATTAATAATAATATATTATAAAAAAAACGGAAGTTGAATTGAAAATTGAAATAATTATCAAAAAAAAAAGAATTGAAAATTGAAAATTGAAATAAAATATTAAAACTGAGCTGTCAGTTTTGTTTTGCTCAAAGGCTCAAACTAAAACTGAAGAGTCCAGTTACTGGCTGCAAGAGGCGCGTGGGCCCCAAACAAAAGGAAGGCGCATGGTCTAATTTTACGTGAAAGTGGGCCCTCTCCTTTCGGACGAGGGAAAAACTTAAAAAAAAAAAAAAAAAAAAAAAAAAAAAAAGCTTAAATAGGGAGCGATGGTCATTGCTTTATTCACCCGTGAATAGAGCTTCTATAACTCAGGTGCCGGCGGCGAAGCAGAACCACCCCTTCTTTCCGCCCATTACACAAGGGTCGAAAGAATAAAAATAAAAATCGAATCTTTTTCTTCCTAATCAGGTAACTCCATTGTTCTTTGTTTGTGGGAATGTGTGTTTCTTGGGTGTTAGAAAAGTTTGAATAGATCTATGTTCTTCTGTTCTTATTATTTGATGTGGTCTCTGTTTTTTTTTTTTTTTTATGTATTAAATCTCTGAGTTTCTGTTGGTTTGTAATGCATGTGATTAGATCTTGATTTTGGATTTGAGGTTATGTTTTTTTTTATTATCCCAGATTGATTAATTGAAAAATTGATCTGATGATTTTTACATGCAGAGCCAGAAACTTTGATTCATTGTTGGATCTAAAGTTTGTGTTTTTATAGCTTTTCCTGATTTCAAGAATTGATTTTTATCACGGGATTCTTTTGATTTTTTAATATTGATTTAAATTTTAATTATTATTAAATTTGTTTATGGAGCAGATGAAAGGTTACATGTGTTTGAGAAATATCTGAGATATTTTTTTCCACTTTTCACAAAGAAAAGACCATTCTTTTGTGTCTGCCATACCAGCAGAATCTATCATTCAATAACTTTGGTTCATCTGAATTTAATTGCATTCAATATATATTAATATTATAAATATATATAATATTAAATTGAAAAAAAAAGTCATTCACAAATCACAACCCTCTTGTGATTTGCATTATTAAATTTCAATCAGATCCAGATTTTCTCAAGATCTCCTTTTTATCGGAACTTCTGCTTCGATTTCTTTTCGTCTCGGCAATTTGCATCGAACAATTTGTCCGAATAGAAAATATGTGTGATAATCTTTCATAAAAAAGAGTGTTTAATGCTGTACAAATTTGTTTGGTATTGAAAATGATTTTTTTAATTCGAGCATCGAACGTGTCACATGGTTGGTATCAAATCAGACAAGAGTTTGGTGAATTGTTTCTAAGAATCGAGGTCCATTACACAACACCTTGGTTTTGGTGCTAGTGTTTTTCACGTGGTCCTTCGCCATTCAATAATATTCTCGATGTTTTATTTGGTCCCATTCCTACATTTCTTGTATGAACTCACTATACTATAATACTCTTAATATTATTTAATTTGTATGCTATGCAAGCTTGTTTTTTTCTCTTAATGTGGGGTTTCTTCTTCGAATAATGACGGTTAGGTGAGATTTGTAGTATAGGTAATAATAAATAGTGGGTAGTTAATGGAAGATTCAATGCCTAATTAGGTCGAATACTCGATAATTCTATAAATAATGCTCACTCAGCCTATTAGTCGGTCCACAGTTTCAAGATTAGCCATATTATGGACTTGGATCGGCCGTATATTGACTGTTGACTAATACTCAATTATGTATGTTGTTTTAGCCGCCCTTCCTATTCGGTTACATGGTTACATACAGAGATGTATTATTGATTGAAATATAATAAAAGAAGCAACTTTATTTTTCTCAATATAAATATCTTGCATGAACAAGAATATTATAATGCCTGATGTGTCACTTAGCTGGCTGCTAATTGTATTTTTTCGTTATAGTCAAGGTGTCCAACATGGAATAGAATCAACTTGTCCGATTCTTGTGCGAATGTGCTTTAGATTATTCTTCTTCAATTTGTCTCCACTAGTTCGATTTTACTATTTTTTCTTTTCTTTTTTGAAATTTGAATATTCAAAAGTGATCAATTTGTCGAAAAGACTTGGAAATAGAATTCGTTTACCTTTTTGGTGCAATGGGTTACTAATAAAAATCAAATCTTTATTTTTTAAACCCTCTGCAGATTGTTGAACAACAATGGGTGCAGGAGGCAGAATGTCCGTACCAACCGAGGGCAAAAAGTCAAAACCCGAACCCCACCAACGGGTCCCGCACTCAAAGCCCCCGTTCACAGTCGGCACGCTAAAGAAAGCAATCCCACCCCACTGCTTCAAGCGTTCAATCCCCCGTTCATTCTCCTACGTTTTTTTGGACCTCGCCATTGCCTCGTTTTTCTACTACATCGCCACAAATTACATCCCCGCCCTCCCCCACCCCCTCCCCTACCTCGCATGGACCCTCTACACCATCGTCCAAGGCTGTGTCCTAACCGGAGTTTGGGTCATTGCCCACGAGTGTGGTCACCACGCGTTCTCTGACCACCAATGGTTAGACGACACAGTTGGCCTAGTCCTCCACTCTGCCTTACTCGTACCCTATTTCTCATGGAAGTACAGTCATCGGAGGCACCATTCAAACACAGGCTCGCTCGAGCGAGACGAGGTTTTCGTGCCTAAACAAAAAACGGGTCTTTCTCCATGGGCCAAGTACTTGAATAACCCACCAGGTCGGATCCTAATGCTAACTGTCCAGTTCACTCTCGGCTGGCCCTTGTACCTCCTCTTCAACGTATCGGGCCGACCCTACAACCGCTTCGCGTGCCACTTCGACCCGAATAGCCCCATATACTCGGACCGCGAGCGGGCCCAGATCCTTATTTCTGACGCGGGTGTTCTTGCTATTGTCTACGGGCTATACCGCCTCGTTTTAGCAAAAGGGCTTTCTTGGGCTTTTTGCGTCTACGGGGGCCCGCTTCTCGTGGTGAACGGGTTCCTTGTTTTGATCACGTATCTGCAGCACACTCACCCGGCTTTGCCGCACTACGACTCGTCGGAGTGGGATTGGCTTAGGGGGGCTCTGGCCACCGTCGACAGGGATTACGGTATTTTAAATAAGGTGTTCCATAATATCACGGACACTCACGTAGCGCATCATTTGTTCTCGACTATGCCGCACTATCACGCGATGGAGGCTACCAAGGCGATCAAGCCGATTCTTGGAGATTACTATCAGTTTGACGGGACCCCGTTTTATAAGGCGGCTTGGAGAGAGGCGAAGGAGTGTATCTACGTGGAGGCGGACGGAAACGAGAAGGACAAAGGTGTGTTTTGGTATAATAATAAGATTTAAGATTGTTATATTGGTGAAGGAGTAGGGTTTCTTTTTGGTTGCCTATGAGAGCAAACATGGGGGGGTGTTGTATTTTTCTCTTTTATTTTTTCTTCTTTTTAAAAAAAAAATTATTAGGTTGGTATTATGGTCTGAAACCCTCTGAAATCATGTCTGTTGAATAAGAGTCTTCTGGGCTTTGTTCTTGAATTGTATGGTTCAGTGTTGTACCTTGAACAAGTCCAACGTTAATCTATGTATGCCATCTTTTTCTTTCATTTTCCTCTGTTTTATTGTCCATATATATATATATGTAATTAAGTTATTACAATAATTAAATATGAAATAAGTTAGAATCATTATTGTTTAATTAATTATGAATTATTTTAGTGCAACTTTGATTGTTAGGTTTAAGAGTCTATATACTACAGAGAGCAGGGAGTTACACTATTTGTTCCCTCATCGGCTAATTATTTGTTTCAAAAATTAATACACTAGACTTATTTCTAGTCTAATAATGTGATGAGTTGGGCCCCCAATGATTCATCCATTTTGAAAATGGGCCCGATTTCCAATTCATTTGAGACGGCTCGATCCTGGTTCACTCAAGTTCGGTTTAAATGGAAAAGTTTCTGGACTTTTATCTTGACCGTCCATCTTGGGTAGTCGATCATGCCCGTCCATCTCATCTCTTGAATTAGGTCTGTCTTCTTCATTTATTTTAAACCTAGTTGACTTCCGTCGCTCTGTATTTTACCTCTCTCTGTACATTCGTTCATCCTCCTCTCTCTTGTCTTGTTCCGGTGACTTCTGAGTCACACGTCGCCTACTATAGCTGACCTTGATTCTGAGGTGGATATTCACTGATGACCGTTGTTTGTGCCTCTATAAATACAGCTTGTAGAGAGAGTGGGGTTAACACACAGATTAGTTCGTTTCCTATGTTTTATGAGTGAAAGATACACTCTTGCTCGATTTAAACCCGAAGCCTTAAAAATTACATGAGTCGATAATAATAAAGTACGATCGTATACGAGCTCTAGCCAACCCAAGCTCGACTCATATGGCCCGATTGTTAGCCATAACTAGGAGATTCGACTTTGTTGGGCCGGGCCGGCGCAGCCCATTATGCAACAATTTGTCTTGTTGATATTGGACTTTATGGAATTTGATTGTTGAGCTGTAATATTTATTAATTGGTACTGGATAAAAAAAAAAAAAGGGAGTCATAATAAAAAGAAAATATGATAAATTCGAGAAGAAAAAGGGGCCATCACCAAATAAATCGAATATATTTATATGGATATAATTCCCAACATAATTGACATGCTCATATAAAATCATAAATAAATAAATAAATAAATATGTAGAATATTGATTGAAGCATGCACGTTAGCAAAAAGCTAAGTAAATGGGAGCCACGTTGAAACGGTCTACGGCCAAGCTAAGAAGCCCGCCACGTGGCAGCATCTTATTATCCTCCAAAGAAAAAGAAACAAAAATCAAATAAATGATTCAGTGGGCCGGCACACGAGGCTCGTGCATGGAATGACGTCATCCAAGATCCGGTTTAATGGGCCTTAAAAGATTGGGCCTTTTACATCCCGATCATCTGACACCCACGTGCAGATCCAACGGTCCTGATACGGCTAAATCTCTTATACTCGATTCAGTACGTGGGATCATATTAGTACCTCAATAAAATAAATTAAAAAATAAATAAAAGAAAATATAATGGAGAAAAAGACAGTTAAATGGCCGGCTGCAAAATATTATGCTCTCCACACCTTTTTCACTAATTTGAGCTCAATATTTCAATAATTTTTTTTTATTAAATTATATTATAATAAATTAACCTCATTCTTTGTTCACAAGGACAAAAGCCAAACAAAACATACAAGATTCATATTCGGCATGTCTGAAAAATAGGAATACGAAAACTTGGGGGAAATGTATAAATATCAAAAGTATAGGGGTATATTTATAAATATGTTATATGTATTTTAATTGGCTAAGCGTGGAAAATGCAAGCCATAACATATTTGATGTGGATTCCAAATAGGTCATGAAATCACGTAGCATTTTTTTTGTAATTTAATTTTATATAATGTTTCTATATATAATATTTAAATTGTACCACCATTAATTGTGGACTGAACTCAGTTTATTGGAATTGCAGTTTAATTGTATATAAAAGAAATTTATTTATTTAGTTATGAACCGTAGTCATATATACGGTAAACTTCACTTTCGTGCAATAGCGTGTGAAATAAACCAGATCAATCTTTACACATAGCTTTCCTCTAAATAGATGTCTGAAAACACACACACACATATATATATATATATATATGATGTTGGAAAAGTGGTGTTTAATTTTTTACCCACAAACTTGGGTAAAAATGCAATAGAGGGAAATAGTTGTTGCAATGATGCTCCATGCATGTGGGTAAATCAACAGGCCTTATTTTCCTGACACCCACTGAAATTATTTCAGTACAACCTTAATATATATCAACACACACACACACACACACACACGCACAAATATATATATACACTGAATTAAGTTTAATTACTCCATTTAAAATTGAGAAATTCTTGCAATCAAGAAAAAGGAAAAACCAAACAATAGGGAATTAACCATTAACCAACTATAAAAACAATTAATGACAGCAAATATTAAGGAGAAATAAAATAATACTCTAATAGGCAATTAGTTGTTTAATTAGGGTTTAAATTTTAATTAAAGATAACATTTTTATTGCCATAAATATCCTTCTGTAATTCAAGCACAATACCCTTGATATGCATGGATACTTACAATATATATATATGACTTATGATATTATAAATTGGGGACCATTTATTATTTAATTTAATTTAATTTAATTTATTTATTAAAGTGCAATACTTTATTGACTCTCTCTCTTCCCCAATATGTCATTCTAAGGTTCATACAATCCTCGCCTCAACATACATTATTATTTTATTTTCTTATTATTTTTTTTCTCTATGTTCCCAATGATTAAACAACATTATTAATTTCCTTTCCCACCTATACATACATATATATATATATATATATATATATATATATATATATAAACATCTCCCACTTCTTCTCCTTTCAAACCATCACACCAACTCTGCATCAAATATATATATTTCCCCATCTCTCAAATATTTTGTCCATTTGACAAATGGAAGATTTGATGATGGAAGAAAACCAAATTATTTACTCGAAAAAAAACACGACAACACACGCGATGAACAAGAACTCACAAACGATATCGAAATCGAAGCCGAAGATTCGTATAATCCACATATTCGCGCCGGAGATCATCAAAACGGACGCTGCGAACTTCAGGGAGCTCGTGCAGAGGCTCACCGGAAAGCCGCCGCCGGAGGACGAAGATCGGAACATTCGGGGCGGCCAGAAAAAGACGACGACGACGACCGTGAGGAAGAAAGAGACGAGAATATTTGCGTCGTCGAACAAGAAAATGGAGAATATGGCTATGATGAGGGCTGGGTTTGATCATCACCATGCAGAGTTTAGAGAGAGGATAAAGGGGGAGGAGGAGATTTGGAGCGGTGCGAACTCCGGCGGCGGTTTCTTGGGCGGTTTCGCGGCGGAGTTTGATGGTTTCATGCAGGAGCTAAACCAGTTTCCGTTCTTGGAAGGTACAGCAGCTCAGGTGGATGTTTACGGAGAACCACAACTTGCTTAAATTTTAGTCATCAAGCATTAATTAATTATGTTGATTAGCGTTGGATTTATCTTCATAATTTGTTTTATTAATTTTTAATTATTCTTTTTTTTTTTTAGTTCTCGATTATTAGCTAGGTGTCTCTAATTATGGTGATCAAGGATTTTGCTTTGGGTTTCTAATTTATGATGTAATTAAATGAATATTAAGTTGATATAATTAATGTGGCATTTTAATTGTTGTTTAATTAGAAAATGAATTTAATTTCCAGGCTCCATTTGGATGTTTTTCAAGCAACTGATTTTTTTTATTTATTTTTTAAAATTAATATCATAACTTTGTCTCATTTGGATGAATTTCTTGGATTTTTGTTTTTTGGTGTCTTCTTTTAAAATACGGACAAGAAAATAAACTTTGGTAAACCAATTTAGGAAGTTGCAAATCCTACATTAGTTTATGTTCTTTAAGATTAGACATTGTGTATTGGTTTAAACTTACCTCAAAGATAATGTAATCTACTAAAAACTAATATTATTTAGAATTTTTTAAATCTAAGTTTATTTATTTCTCATTTTGTTCGGGAAGAAAACAGGGTTGTGCAGTGGCGGAGCCAATATTTTAAGTTCGGAGGAGCCGAATGCATTAGAATATTCTAAGAGGGAGCCGTTACTCCTATTATACACAAAAAACAAAAATTATATTTATATATAAATTAATAGAGATTTGATAAATGTTGAGGAGGGGATCACGACTCCCCTTGGCCCTATGCTGGCTTTCGCTGCTCTAGTGGTGGGTGGAGTGTACATGGGACATGAAATGAAATTTTATCTCATATATATATATATATATTGAGAGATGTGAATCCAAGATCCAAAATAAACACATAGATGACGTTAGTATAACTAGATGCATTCCCCTATTGAACAATAATGGGGGTGTTGGGTTGTATATATGCAATAAATATTGACTTAGAAACATCAAAGTCTACTTTAATTTTATTCACCATTTGCAATTAATTAAATATTATTACGTTAGCTATTATATCCAAAGTCCAATTTGATGAACTAATGAACAAAGTCTAAAAGATAATGTTTGATCATTGTCACAAAACTCACATAGATTTACAAATCAATGTCATACTTGTTTATTTTACTCCATTAATGCGTGCTATATTACTTAATTTGTCCAATTTTATTTCTCTTATTTATTTACCAATATATCCCAATTTTCAATACACATAAAAATAAAATAAATATCAATTACCAAGAGCACATTTCAGTTTTCACTATTAAATTGAGCCACAACTTGTCCAACTTAGACTTGATTTTTTCGTATATACAAATAACACAAAGTTGAAGGTGTAATTTCTATAATTTAACCTTAAAAATTATTTGTTAATCCGGGATTGGCAACAAATGGTCCACGTGTGAAGACCCGGGTATGAACGGCTCACAATCAAATGTCGTGGGCGCTTGTGTGTGTTGAATGTACTATAAGACCAGTGTTTGCGTCGTTTATAACACCAATTGATATTATGACAACTGATAGATCCTGAAGTCCTACAAGTGGTATCATACGGGTTCGATCTCCGACTGAAGCAATTGCTGAAGGGATCATCTTTCATTGAATAATCGAATCTTATGTAATATTTGATTTCATATAAAATGAAATAATCTTATCTCGACTAATTGTATATTTGTCAAAGTATTCGGTAAATTTGAAGTCAAGATTTTAGCCAAACAAAAAAAAAAAAAAAAGAAAGAAAAATCAAGTCAAGTTGAGATGTCAACAGCCAAAGTCAAATGAAGTAAAACACGTTTCATTCTAGTAGCGTTTTTTCGTGTTCACATTCAACAGAGTCTGAACTTCAAATATATTAACTATAGTAGAAGGAAAATGCAATCTAGTCAATAAATAATGTTTCGAATTTCGGTTTTCTTTTTTCTTGTTTTTTTTTTCACTTAAATATGCAGAAACAAATGTGAACAAAGAGATTTGAAAAGAGAAAGCCTTCGAAACCAACTTCGAAAACAACCCTTTACTACTTGCATCAACCACTCCTCGGTTTGCTCTTCACTTGCACCCACAAAACAAGAACACGTTTATTTACAGATTACCAAACAAATTGCAATAATTAGATAAAAAAATGTGACGAGAAAATAAAGAGACGGGTTTTTTTTTTCTTACGGCAATATAAGTCGGGAGCTTCGTTGTTTCGTACTTTATTTTTTACCGTTTGTTTTTCTTCGGTATTCAACTTTCGTATTCGGTGATTGGTTCTGCAAGTGGTGATGGTCCTGGATCTAATCTTGTAAGAACTTCAGGTACTCCAGAACTATCTCTTATAATCTGCATTAATTTAGACCATCTAATTAAATCAAACACTTGTCGACTGAGTTGTGACAACCACAAAGGTCGTTTCGTTCAGACAGGAATTCTAAAATTATTAACAAATATAAATAAATAAATGAAATAACTAGCGAAAAGCTGCAATGGGTTCCGATCACCGTAAAACATGGGACGCTGGCTAGAAAATGGAATTAAATAAAGGAAAACTCGATAGGAATTATTTTCAAAAAACGCGAAGATGGACAAACTAGCTTCGTCTGGTTAGTGAAACGTGAATCTTTTTTCAATAACGAGATTTCGTATTAGTTTATTTTGAAAAGAAGTTAAAAAAAGACTTACTAGGATCTCTTCGTCGAGATAAGAAATCATAAACAGCCTCGATACGGACCCACCTGTGGTAGTAACGCAACAAAACAACTAGGGTGAATAAAACTTCGAACAATCATTCAAAAGCAAATGAATTGGGAAAACTTCAAGTTTTTATTAATAAAAGGTGGCGCTGCGAAATATGCATTAGTGAAGTAAAATGTAACGACGAGCAGAAACAAAAAGACGATAAGTTATGTTTGAACTTCTTACCGAGAGGAACCTTAAGTCCACCGGCCACTGCGTCCTTAATCGGAACGGGGAGCTGCTGCATTGTACTAACAGCTTGACCAAAAGTACCTCTCAGCTGTTCAGGTATCGATTCCTCGTTGACTTTCGGGGATTCGAATAATCCTTCGATGTATTCCTCTTTCATACGAAGTGGGCCCTCCACAGATAGCTTCGTCGACACAATAAAACTGCTTTCTATCTGCACCTTGACCAGTAATATCGTTAATGGACATCAACGAATTGAATAAAAATTAAAAGTCTATAAAATCCCCCCCCCCCCCCCCTCCCCTTAAAAAAAAGTGCAAGTACGTTTACCGAATTGAACAATTTCACACTTGCGGATATCTTTGCGTATCCATCCTTGATCACCACATCCAGTTTCGATAAATTTGCAATTGCAAGAGGAAACCTCCTGCAAAACATTGTAATAAAAATCACCTTTTCTCGAGTGAAACAAAATTCCAATGCTTTAGTAATACGAATAACAATTTTTTTTCCGACACTAAAAAAACGAACTTACTCGAACAAAAATTTAGCAGCAGCTAATCCGGGGCTTCCAGAACCGAACCACTCGAAATTCCAACGACCTTCTAGATAAGGAGACCTGAATAGCTGAGAATATTAAATGAGCATCTTATCGAGAAGTTATTATACATTAATGTGTTTTGACGGATATAAAAAAATTACGTTGTTGGTCGAGGAGTTGGATTCAGCTTCTCAAGGCCGACTATTCTCTCGTTCACGTCAATTTGCTGCATATCTGTTGTTTTTCCAGTGATCAAACCCTCGAATCCTCCGGCATCTTTGAACTGAAACAAATACAATCATTAATCATGTAATAAACATAGCTTCCTCCGGCGAATAATTAATTTACCATAAATACTTAATTAGGCCTAATTTTAGGTCAAATTATTGCATTGCCTAAAAATTGAACATAAATACTTGCCGAAAATCAAGCTTCGAAGCAAATTAGAGCCAATTAAGGGTAATAAAACAACCTGAAATGTTAAATGCCGTTTCAATTTTATACTAATACCGTTTTCGAACATGACTTTGACATATTTCTAGGTCAATTTCGGCAAATTTCGAATCACAAAAACTGTAGTCCTTTGAGTTAGCTTTCTAATCCAACATAAGTCAGCTCGATTGGATGTTGTGTGACAAAGTTTCGTATGAACAAGTCACATTTTAAATTTCAGATAACTCAATACATCAAAGTTAGTTGTGGGCAGTATTCGTTGATTAACGTACATCTTTCTCATCCGACATCCAATTTTAGTGATTCAAGTTGGATAAGAAAGATCCACAAAATTCGGAGTAAAAAAATGATCAAAACCGCATTTGAAGTCGAAACGGTATTACTAAACCTCGACATTTACCGCATCCCTAAAACAACTAACTTAAACCAAACATATAATTTTTTTTTCCAAAAAAAAAAAATGAAAACTCACAGCGAGAAGAAGAGATTCCTTAGCGGAGAGTCTTTCCATTTCTTTGGCGTACGCGGCGGAGGGGCCTTGTACAGTTTGCTGCACCATAGCTCTGCATTTTCTGTTTATTTTTCTAACCCCAGTTGGGAATTTGGTGTGATTATTACACTTTCTCTTTGAATTTTCGAGGGAAAATATTGGGGGAGAAGGTGGATACGACGACGAACGAGATGAACGAACTACCAATAGGCTATGGGTTGAAATTGAGGAGGCCATTGGAGAAAGGAATTTGAAGCCTAACGGAAAATGATTTGACAGAAGAAAAGAATTTGAAGCTTCACGAGTTCTTTCTCCTGTGCGTAAAATGCGTGCACTGTGTGTGTGTGTTTATATTTTGTGGTCAGTGGTTGGTTTGGTAGGAGAAAATGGTAGGGGTACTTTCGTCTACTTCTTCATTATTTCCATCGTTATGGTAGGGGTACTTTCGTCTACTCATTTATTTTAGTTAATTTTTTTGGGGTAAATTACGGTCACCTCTTGAGATGAGGTCAAATTACGAAAATACCCTTCATGTTTAGGTAATTTATAATTACAATCATCTTTCAACTATAAATCTTCTTACATGTCCATTATGCGGTGTCAAATTTAGTGAAATATTCTAGATTATGTGGAATATTCTCCAGTTTGTACCCGTTTTACCTCATTTGAGCTTCACATTTTAAAATAAAATGCGTATCTTAGGCTTGTAAATATCATATTATTGTGCCTCAGAAACTACATCTTGCACAAAATGAGTACAAATTAGAGAACATTTCACGAAATTTAGAAGATTGTGATGAATTTGATATCATAAAGATGGATTTTTTTGTAATTTAACTTTACCTCAAGAGCGTAATTTGCCCTTTTCGTTAGTCTTTTTAATACATGTCAAACAAATCAAACCGACATATAAATGTAAATATAATTAAATGAAAAATGAAATATAATATTCAAAACTTTTATTATGTATGGTATATAGGGTTGGGTTTTTTAAGGTTGGATGAATTGAAGGCTTTTTTATCACGTGCTATTTAATGGTACCAAAATGAAGTAGTTTGACATATTAGGAGATGTTATAAACTAAACTTTACTAGTCAGTCTCATTGTCTGCTCTTTTTCAGTTGTTTATATACTTTATATTCATTATATCTTTTTACCCGGATTTGTGGCAATTTGTTTTTCTTGTTTTTTTTTTTTTTTTTTTTGTGTTCCAATATAATATAATATGCATCAATTTCAATTGCTAGTGGGTTTTTTTTTTTTTTTTTTTTAAATTATTAGATTGGAAAGGGAAAAAACAAAAGGAGTGAATTTAAATGTAACTTTTGGAAAATCAATCTTTTAAATTAGTTTTTAAGATAAAATCAGATCGAAAATCAAAAATCTCGTTATGTGAATTTTGAAGATCTAAGCTACAAATTATTGTACAAAGCCCAATCCCGTATTGGTAATCCAGGCCCAACCCAAAGTTGTGGGCATCAGATGCCCATAATTAAAATTACTCCCACTAAAATTAAAACAATGAAAATTACAATCAACATCCTTCGAGTTTGTACTGATTTTATATTTTGTCACTCATGTTAACAAAAAGACACATTTATTAATAATAATGCTTATTAGAAAGATGAAATTATTGAAAGTACGAGGAAATTGTGTTATATTAAAAGTTAAAGGGGGTAATATGCTTATACTGAACGTACAAAGGTATCATGTACACAAAGTTCAAACCACATGGAGTTATGTGCTATTTACCCCTATTATTATTATAAGCCTCGAAAAAAAAATATATATCTTTAGCTTGAGGACAACTTATCACATAAAGATTGATAAGCAGCATTGCATATCTTGAACTTTTCCTCTGCAAATGCCTGTTATTATTGCACATCAATAGTATTTATCAATCTGTTAATCATACAAATTAAAATCTTTTAAACATAACTAAAAACATATTCAATTTATCGTACCTTAGAAAAGCCCCGATGGTGATCGGGGTGCCATTTCAACGCACAAGATCGATATCTGTTAAAACGAACAAAAAAAAATCATTGCAGAGTATGTACATTATAATAAAACTACCAGATTCATCAAAAAAAAATTTAATAATTCAACTTACGCGGTTTTAACATCTTCGAGATTTAAAGGTCCATTAGCACTTAATCCAAGGGCTGATCGGTCACAAGTCTTTATGTTTGAGGATGCATTCTCGTTATTTTTCGAGTAATCTTGACTTCTTTCTTTGAATGAGGATTTATTCTCGTACTTTTTCGAGTGATCTTGACTTTGACTTTTTCGATCCTCAGCTCTCCAATGCCATGCTGTTTGCTTATCATCATTCAACTTTCCTGTGACAGAGTTTGGAAATTATATATTTCAGATTTTTTTTTTTATTTGCTAGTACATAATTCCTGGAGCTATATACTTACCGACGATAAGTCCCGGAGAAATTTCGGATATTTTGCAAACCGGTTTAAATGTCGGCTGCAGAAAAAACAGACATATAAATATAGTTTTTTCAGTTAAGCTCATTAATTAAATCAAATAAGAACAAAATAATTCTGAAGAGGAAAACATGAATATTTATATAACTCACCCTTCGAGCCCACCTATGATTTTGATTTACTTTATCCTGCAAAAAAAAGAATTAAAAATACATATATATATACATACAATAAGCTGGAAGAAGAAGAAGAAGAAGAAGAAGAATAATAATTAATGGAGAAAAGGGGATATATATATATATATATATATATATATATATTATACATACAGGCCAGCTGACGCGCTTCTTGAAGGTGAGAAAAGGAGTGGAGTGAAAAAGAGCAGCCATTGTTGGGAAATTAGGGTTAACCAGAGATTTCATCATCTTCACAAATTCCGCACCCTAAATTAATTTTGTCTTTAATATTTAAAATAATAAATTGTACGTGTGTTAAAATATATATAGTGAGAAATGTTCTATTTTGAGAAGTAATCAATTTCAATCCAAATTAGGTTGCCCCTTCCCCAAGTTTTCGTACTATAGGGACTAGGGAAGAGTAAAATGAAATTTTCTAGGTACTAGATTGTGAAACTTCATATTTCTTAAGGGTAGGTGGCCATAATTACAAAAAAAAAAAAACCCTCATTTTTTGGTAATTAGAATTAACCCCTCAACGTTGAGTCTTCTTACACGTCCACCATTATGGTGTCAAATTCAATAGAATCTTCTAAATTTTGTGGAATGTTCTGTAGTTTGTGATCGTTTTAATGCAAAAATGCAGTTTCTGTAATATTTACAAACCAAGAGACACTTCTTATAATCTTATTTCAAAATGTAGAGCTCGAATAAGGTAAAACGGGTACAAACAGGAGAATATTTCACATAATCTAGAAGATTCCACTATATATGACACCGCAAGAGTAGACGTGTAAAAAAATTCGTAATTAAGGAGGTGGTTGTAATTACCCAAGCATAAGGGGTTTTTCGTAATTTAACATTACCTCGGGGTGGCCGTAATTTGCCCATAAGTTAATTGATGATATCACTTATTTTACCTTTGTAATACATTCCAAGACAATATAAAGCAACACCCATTACAGATCATCTATGTAACTTAAAAAAAAAAAGCTGCAATAGCACAAGTTGCAAACTGATGGCTTATAAGTTGAAAAATAAATTAAAATGTATTAAGTTAATCTAATCACTAATCAGTTACAATAAATCCCTCTAATGCATAGCCAGATTATCGCATATAGACTGGTACGCTGCACTGCAAACCTTGAATTTCTCTTCAGCAGCAACCTGCACAAATACAAATTAAACCGATTCTTGAAAAAAAATAAAAAATAAATCGTTTCCTGTTTAAATTGCTCGTCACTTGAAAAAATCATAATGGAGAAAATATACCTTGGACGAACCCTGGTGTCGATCTGGATGCCATTTTAACGCGCATGCTCGATATCTGATAACGAAGTAAATGCCAATTAGAATGATAGAATCCCGGGAAAAAAATTAAGATAGTAAAATTTTGATCAAGATCTTACGCGTTTTTAACATCTGTGACATTCAAAGGGCCAGAAGCACTGAGTCCCAAAGCAAGCCTATCAGATTTTTTTATGCCGGTAGTAGGTTTATGATAGTGATCGGATGAAGAATAATCGTATTCCGATTCATCGTTAAATGAATATTTCGAGCCATTAGAAGAAGTTCTTGAATAGTTGGTGTAGTAGCTCGAAGAGTTCCTAAATCTCGGTTCGTAGTCTATTGTGAATGACCAATGGTAGTCTCTGTTTCCACCAAATCCCGATCGGAACATCGTCTCGAATTCATCATCATCGTCTTCACAGAACTCAAATCCTTAAAAAAAAAGAAAGAAAAAAGATGACTTGATGAAATTCCGACAGTGAAGCGAGAGTTTACGAGGATAAAGAGTGACGAACATACTTCTAGAAGCTCTTGATGATTTATTTTTTGGCTTCCCTCTTATATATTCGTCGTCGCTGAAAGTTGGTCTGGACCAAGAACTACCTCGACCACGGGGTTCGCTGTACTCGTCTCTATCTGACTGCCAGCTCTGGCCCACCAAAAATCGCAGAAAAGGGGCATGAGAAATCACAATGGAAACTTCTTTTACAAGAAACAGATAATCGGGTATTTTTATTTAGCTTTTTTTTTTTCAGTTAAATCAGATGGTCTAGAATGACGGATAAAACGATAGTTTATTGATCTGCTAAATTAAATACACATCTAATTTATATGTATATATATATATATAGAACCTGAAATAGGTGCTCCGCAAATTCACTGACATTGCGCAACAAACTCTGTTTCTTGAGCCTTTTGTGATACTGGTTAAATTTCTACACAAAATAGTTTCAAGAAAGACGAGATTTTGGTCCATCAAGCATAACTCAAGAAAACGTAGCAAACATGCACTAGTTGTTCGTTTCTGCTCAACAGAACCAGCTTAAGTGACGTGTATAAAGCTTATTGGCAAAGAGTCTATAGCATGATGAAATAAAATTATTATAAATATTTCGAGGTAATTAACAGAAATTCAGCCTCACTACTAGCTTACGGAAATTAGTCTCGTCGACTATGCACCCCCATTAATTTAAGGGTAAATTACAACCACCCCCTGAGGTATGGTCAAATTACAAAACCCCCCCTCTTGTTTGGGTAATTACAACCACCCCTCAACTATAAAACTTCTTACATGTCCACCCTTGCGGTTTCAAATTTAGTGGAATCTTCAAGATTATATGGAATATTATCAATTTTGTACCCGTTTTATCCCATTCGAACTCCACATTTTGAAGCAAGATGATAATAATATGTGTTTTTTGGCTTGTATATATCAGATTGTGGTGCATCATAAACTGTATTTTTTAAACAAAACGAGTACAAACTAGAGCACATTCCATGAAATCTAGATTGATTATGTTGAATTTGACACCATAAGGGTGGAAGTGTAAGAAAAAATCATAGTTGAGGGGTAGATGTAATTATCCAAACAAGAGGGTTTTTTCCGTATATTGACCATACCTCAGGGGGGTGGTTGTATTTTATCATTAATTTAAAAATAATTCAACTCATGAAGAAAATCTGTTTTAGGGGGCATACGGGAACAATGAATTTGCTACTTTACTGATGAATCAAAATAATTCCGGACAAATCCAAGAAGCAGATAACTAGGATGTATGCGAAATTTGTCGAAACATCTAGAGCATAGAAGACAAATAATAAAAGATGGGACCCTATACAAGCTAGAAGAGTAAATACAATTATTTTCAGTCGAAGGCAATCCCAGCAAACTAACGAGAGTTTATAAATGTCATTTTACGAGATTTCTTCCTTTTGTTCAATGCGATCGTTTTCCATTTACAAGTTAGTTCAATCATCCAAGTGAATTTCTTGATGTCAACATCAAAGCTACTCTTAATAAAACAACGACAATTTCAATGCTCGAACATGTTTTTTAATTTGACGGCATAACATAACAACTAAAACTTTTCTCAAACGCACGTAGTCGCATAAGATCAAGAAAATGGAACTCACCTTTGGGGGACTCCTAAAAGGAATTTCCTGCACGAGAAAGACGAGTAAAGTCAATACAGCTACGTAGCATATCAAAGAACAATTCATTTTACAGCTTAAACACAATATTCCATCCGATCAATTTCTTTATTATCTAATAGCTAATATAGATAAGTCTCATTAGCTACAGAACAAATATCAACGAGCTTACATAACTAAGCAATTAAACCAATTGAGCATACACAAATCCACATCAATGGTGAATTAATTATTTGAAAAAAAAAACCCGAATTCAATTAATAAATCTTCTTTTCTCCGTCCGAATATTAACAAAATGAAAATTTAATTGAGTTACAGAATTGCAAAGGGCAGAGGTTTGATAGTAAAGTTCACTTTTTTTTTTTTTTAATTTACCATAATTCAATAAATCTTCAACAATTTAAACTAAATAAAATAACCATCTCCAACAAAATTAAATCGGGCTTACAGAATCCCAATGGTTGCGTCTTCTGCGCTCGGAAACAGGGGTGCAATGAAAAAGAGAAACCCTAATCTGAAAAGGGCTGGATTGGGGATTGATTGCTGCCGCTAATCTGCTGGCTTTATTCATTTTCGCAAAATCATTCTAATGAAAATGTGAAACGAAGCATTCTTTTTGCTTTTGCTTCTCTCTTAATTTTGCTATTATAATATTGGGGGGAGTGTCAACCCTGAAATGAAGGGCGATCAGGAAAACCAGTGAGTCAACTCGGAGAGACTCGGAAGTGTGGAAGAAAATGAGATGGGCTTTTTGGAAGTGGTGAAGCCCATTGTTTATGTGGGTAATTTATTTTGGATATTGGTGCAATATAACGGGCCTTCCGTATTTGTTATTTGAGGCCCGAAATAAAAATACAAATAAGGAAAATAACAAATATTTTTTTATTTTTATTTTTGTGGATTTTTTAGGTACCCTATATAATTTTTCATTTTTCTTTTAATAATATTTAATTATTAAAAGTTTAATTATTTTATGAAATAAATTTAATGTGTCTTAGTGTATTGTGTTCTGGACTCGTTTTGTTTCTGACATTCGAGGACACATGTCGGGACACCTTATGGGCTATTTTGTTCTAAAAAGTTAGAAACTTGTTTGAATGGTAAATTTTCAAATATTTTTTGTTGTTTTCCTAATTATTTGCATGATTTAATGACCAGTTGTAAATTGATAGTTGATAATAATATTTATTTTTGAATAAATTTGTATGAGAATGTTTTACAAAATTACATATAAAAAAAAAACTTTTATATATTTATATAGCATGTTTCCAAATATACTCCTATACTTTTAATATTTATACGTTTCCTCAAGTTTCAGTATCCCATTTTTCAGGCATGTCATTTCCCCGTTTCCACGATCGTGCTACATAAATTAACATAAATAATTGGACCACATCAATATTATCGTATGTAATTATATGTGTATTATATAGTATTTGGATGGTATGCAATTATGCACATACAAAAATATTAAAATTTTGTTTCAAAAAAGAATTAAAAAAAAATATTAAAATGTGAATTTCTGAATATAACCATTATTTTTTTCTAGCATACAATCTCTTATCTATATATCTATCTCTTCTCATTTTTTATTATGGACACAATCTTTTTCATCTTGATTTTCATAAATCGGCAACCTGAATATTCTCTAGACCTCTCATTTTCTGATGTGTCAACATCGGAAAGTTGACCTGATCCGCCGGTCAACACAGGTTCAGACAGTGGTAGAGGAAACGGACACGTGTCGGTTGAGTGGAACTCCACATGGCACGTGGGGGGGACATGGTCTTTCCAGAGAGGTAACACTATCATTGCCCACACGGAGAAAAAAGGAAAAAAAGAGAGGGAAAAAAAAGTGGTGCACAAAAAAGTAGAGAAAATTTGATTCTTTTTATGGGGGGCTTTTTGTGAAGTGACGAATATGCCCTTGAGGTGAACAATAGGTGTGTTTAGGGTCACTTTGGGGATTTCATTTTTATTTCTCACAAGAATCTTTTCATCCCAATTACTAAAATTTTGAAAAATAATTACAATTTATATTTAACTAATAGTTTTCCTTGTTGGAGACGTTCTTAGTAGGTCGTAAACAATAACGTATTTCACCAAATGACACGAAGTCGAATACATGTTACACTCATTCGAATATATATCTAGGTATATAATTATTATTTACTTATGCATGTCGATATAGATGCGTGGATAAATGGGAATAATATAAACCAATGTGAATTTGTAATCGCAAAACGAATATAAGCCACGAACAGTTTATAAACATTTCAAACTTCGAAAGACGGTAACTTTTTATATGAAACGATATAGATTCTCGTTTATCAATTTATTTTTTCTCGACCGTATTTTTTTCGAAATTTATGGCATCTTATTTATTCTATGCATAGCATTAAACACATTTTTAAATTATCATTTTCTTTATGGTTTATGTTCCAATATTGATTGTCCTAAAAAGCTAAAAAGGTAGAAATGAGGAATAACCACCAAAAGTGAAGGGCATATCCGTCTTTACATGCACTGCAGGCAAAAAGCCATCCAGCTATATCCACCATTAATGTGATCTTGTCATGGGTACCCACAGCCCATAGATTCAAATCATATCAATCCAACGGCTCTGATCTTCGGAAACATGAATTTGGGGTTCATTTCATCTGAATTTCATCAGAGTTTGATTTTCATTTCTCGTTTTTAAAACAAGAGGGCGGGTACCAACCTCACACTATAATTGATAGAGAGAGAGAGGAGTTACAGACAGTGTGACAAAGGTGAAAGAAATATTTCATCACTAGAGCTGCAAAAAAGGTACAATCTTTGCCTTGAATTATAGTTTCTCATTACAAAGATTCAATCTTTGCCTAGAATTATAGTTTCTCATTACAAAGATTCAATCTTTGCCTTGAATTATAGTTTCTCATTACAAAGATTTCAATCTTTGCCTTGAATTGTAGTTGCCTTGAATTGTAGTTTCTCATTACAAAGATTCAATTTTTGCCTTGAATTGTAGTTTCTCATTACAAAGATTCAATCTTTTTTCTTCACTTTACTGAAATATTCAGTTTTTATTTCATTGTAGAAAAGGTTGAATTTGGATGTGCTGTCTTTTTTTTTTTTTTTTTTTTTTTATTTTAAATATGAGCTTCTCTTGATCTATGCAAAGATTTAATTTTTTGGTTTGGTGTTAATATTAAGATCTAGGTATTTATGCTTCGTCGTGAGTCTTGATTCGTTGATCTGCAAATGGGTATTTTTAGTTTTGCTCTTATTTAAGAAGTTTAATGAGAATCTCTAGTTTGGTGAGTGTTGATTAATCATGGTCATAAATCTCAATTAAATCAGTGTAATTGCTATTTTTCAAGAAATCATTGGAGCTAAGAGATGAGCTATGCACACACTGATTCGTTTTTCGGTTAATATATATACGGTTCTTCGTATCGTGTAATCGGGTATTTGCTTTTCAAGAATGTAGTATTGAATCAATTCCCATATGCTACACTAGAACCTCGATAAATTAATATCCTCGCTTAAATAATAGTTTCTTTTGGTCCCGACTCGGTAAAAACCTACTAAATTATTAGGTCGCTAAATTAATAGAATTTTTCTAGTCCCGACTATATTAATTTTAGAGGTTTAATTGTATTAGAAATGAATGAACTGCTATTAGAAATGAATGTACTAGTGACTTAAGAAGGTTATTTTTCCCTCAGACAACATTTCATTGAGACATGGCAGAAGCAGAGGATATTCAGCCTCTTGTCTGCCGATGATATTCAGCCCCTCGTTTGCGACAATGGTACCGGAATGGTCAAGGTAAATCCACCGCCTATCACGTTTTTTTACTTCCAATTGCGACTTTCACAAATATTATTCTTATCGATTAATTTCGAAATTGCCAGGCTGGATTTGCTGGAGACGATGCTCCAAGGGCGGTATTCCCGAGCATAGTGGGGCGGCCTCGTCACACGGGTGTAATGGTAGGCATGGGACAAAAGGATGCTTATGTGGGCGACGAGGCTCAATCGAAGAGGGGTATTTTGACACTAAAATATCCGATCGAGCATGGTATTGTCAATAATTGGGATGATATGGAGAAGATTTGGCATCATACTTTCTACAACGAGCTTCGTGTGGCACCTGAAGAACACCCGATTCTTTTGACCGAAGCTCCTCTTAACCCTAAGGCAAATCGAGAAAAGATGACTCAGATTATGTTCGAGACGTTTAACGCCCCTGCTATGTATGTTGCGATTCAGGCTGTTCTCTCCCTTTACGCCAGCGGTCGTACAACCGGTAAGGAAAAAACAATTAGTTTGGTTTTAATTATGAACATATTTATTTTAATTATTTCGGCTTTTTAAAACGTATTTTTGAGTGTTCTGAATACGCACGCATATACAGTCACTAAATTATCAGTTACGAATCAATTTTAGACACGGAATACAGAACATTTAATACGTCGTATATGCTTATTCGATTCCTTTGGCAGGTATTGTTCTCGATTCGGGTGATGGTGTGAGCCACACAGTCCCGATATACGAGGGCTATTCTCTACCACACGCGATTCTCCGTCTCGATCTTGCGGGCCGTGACCTAACAGACGGCCTGATGAAGATACTCACAGAGAGAGGCTACTCTTTCACCACCACAGCCGAACGAGAAATCGTGAGAGACATCAAGGAGAAGCTAGCCTACATTGCCCTAGACTACGAGCAAGAGCTCGAAACAGCAAAAACAAGCTCGTCCGTGGAGAAGAACTACGAGCTGCCCGACGGGCAGGTCATCACTATCGGTGCGGAAAGATTCCGTTGCCCTGAGGTTCTTTTCCAGCCTTCCATGATCGGAATGGAAGCTGCCGGAATTCACGAGACCACGTATAACTCGATCATGAAGTGTGATGTTGATATTAGGAAGGACTTGTACGGAAACATTGTACTTAGTGGTGGGTCCACTATGTTCCCTGGTATTGCTGACCGAATGAGTAAGGAAATTACGGCTTTAGCCCCGAGTAGTATGAAGATTAAGGTGGTGGCCCCACCTGAGAGGAAGTACAGTGTCTGGATTGGTGGCTCTATTTTGGCCTCCCTCAGCACATTCCAGCAGGTGTATATATATATATATATATATTATGATTAACATTTAACTGATCAAGAAACCATTTTTAAGGAAAAAAAACTGAAATATTCTTGTGATTGTAGATGTGGATAGCGAAAGCAGAGTACGACGAATCCGGGCCGTCGATTGTTCACAGGAAGTGCTTCTAAGATGAATGATGAAGAGAGAGTGAATTATACAAACTATTTATGCTATTTCAGTTGCTTTTTGAATTTTTGAATTTTTTTTAAAGATGTGAAGAATGGATCTTTTTCATTTTCTTTTTCTTATTTATATTTTGTCTTCTAGAAAACCTGTTTTTTGTATTTCTATTATGGTGATTTGAGTTTTTGGTTGAAGGTGACTTGTTGGATTTAATAATCAGCATATTAACTTAGACTGATTTACTGGTTCGATTATTGTAGTAAATGAGACGATACTCTGTATTTGCTTCGAATGTTAAAGAAAACGGCATATCGAAAGTTTATATACGACTCTATCAAGACAACCGAGTATGACCTTACAAACGATAATGTGACAGTTAATATCACTAATTTCTTTCGTGCACAACCAATTCGTCGAAAAGGGATTATCAAACTATTAAAACAAGCCTAGTTTTACAAAGAACCAACAAATAAACCAAGAATCGTGACATTGGTTAAAGGAAGCCGATCGATGCAATAACATTATTACCGTTAACTATGAGTCGTCTATTAGTCGTTTATGGCGGTTATAGTGCTTCTCCATCAAAACCCTCGAAGCCCCTTCCACGGTTCTTCGCCACGTCTGCTCAAAAATATATAAGTTCAATGTCACAAGTCATAATAAAAAGATTGAATTTTTATTTCTATAAATGCAATAAATATGATTTGATAGATTAGAGATTATCTAAGTATGAAAGATTAATGAATGAATTAATTAATTACCTTCCCAAGTGCAGTGATGATGGATTTGTTCTTGATATCCCTGGCTCTGATCTTGGCCCTACAAATCCCGAGCTTCCGAATCAAAGCCGTCGATTTGCGGGGAGCTGCCAGTTGAGGTGGAAGAAGTGATTTTCTCTCTCCTAAAATCTTGTTGTTACCACGTTTTGATTCTTTCCTAATTTCTTGGCTTGTTTTAGCTCGTTTAGCCAATCTCAAATCTTTAGCTGATGAAGATTTGTCGTTCGAATCGGTACCCACCTCGGCGAACTTCCGCAGCAGCTGGTCGGAGGATGATTTTGCCACGTGCTGAACTCTGCTTGCCGTACTATTATTATTAGGATTAGTATTTTCCATGGATCGATGTATATCTTAGAGAGAGAAACTGTAGAGAGAGATGAAATTGGGGAAGTATGAAATTGTAGAGAGAGAGAGATGAACGTGAGTTGGATTATTAAGGGAGGGAAAAGAAAAGGACCGTTAAATGGGCGGTGGGGGGTTTTGATTTGATTATTAGAAGCACTGGAAATATAGCCGTTACCACATGAAATTCTATGCATAAATTATTGTGTATGGAGTGTTTATTATGGACCCATGTTCTTTGCTGACAGCGTTTCATTTACTACAATATTTGCCAACTTAAATATAATACAATATTTGCATGAAAATTACATTTTGGTCCTTATATTATACACAAAAATCGATTTTAGTCCCTAAAATGTTTTTTGCCATGAAATTAGTCCTCAAATAAATTATTTTTCTACACTTTTAGTCCGGCGTTTGATTTAGGAATTAGTTTGGACGGAAACGCACGTGACCGAACCGTGCACTTCAACCCCCTCGTTTTACGTATATTGTTTATTTAGCCTCGATATCACTTTATTTTTTACAATTTCGTTAAATGAAAATCAAACCACCTTCTCCTAGGGTATTTTAGTCATTTCGCATTTTCGGATTTTATTTTCTTCGGGCAAAATTTTATTTATGTATGTAGGAAATACATAATCATGATAATCTCCAATCATCAATTGACCAAGCTACAAACAATACTAACATTCTAGAACTTGGCTTGGAGACCTTGCACAATCTTCTTATCCAACTGAAAAGCCCTTGACAAATAATCGGTATTAATAGCGGGCTTCGCACCGAAAACGGCATTCGAAATTACGGTTATACCCGCATTCTGGCTATTCACGATACCAAACGCGACCGTTTTACCCTTGCCCACATTTCGCTGGTAGTGAACAAGTCCAACGGGGACGACAAAGGCGTCGCCCTTTTCGAGAACCTTGCTGTAATGCTTGTAGTTAGGGTACGAGGTAACGAAGCCTACTTCTAGAGAACCTTCTAGAACAGTCAAGATCTCGGTACCCCTAGGGTGGAGATGAGGTGGCACGAAGCCACCTGGCGAGAAGTCGAGCCGAGCCACTGTCAAGCCGAGTGTGTTGAGCCCCGGAACTCGAGCCACGTTCATGGGGATCACGGACGAGCCGTAAGCGTTGGATGTGTTTCCGGCTGAATTGAACCCTCTAAAGAAGAAATCATCCGCTACAACGGTTGCAGGATCCTTGCATGGTAGACCGTTGATTCTCACTGATCCAAAAACAAAATATAATTAATAATTAAGTAAAAATTAAAAATCATATATAAAAATTAATTAATAATTATTACCGGTGCTACGGAGGTCTGCGACGCAGAAATCTTGGAGTGGACTAGTATCGAAGGCGTAAGAGATACCGACGAAACCGAGGGCTAAAATGCAAAAGAAGATTGAATTTTGTGCCATTTTGTAATTAATTAAAGTGGAGTTGATGAAAATTTGTGGTGATGAGCTATTTATATATAGGTTCTCTCGAGCGATAATATAATATGCGTTTATTCTTGCCTTGATTTTCTCTTTTATTTATGGAATTATTTTTATGTGTGTTAATTACATTGCTAAAATTCTGAGATTACCATCTAAATAATTAATCAAGTCGGTTTAATTACAATTAGATAATTTTTTTCATTTTCTTTTTTCAAGATCCAATTCTCTTAATTACCAGCAGCATAATAAATATATATAACTGTCATTTAAGTTTTGTTTAGCAATTGGTTAATATTTTTTGTTAATGTGCAATTAATATAATTAATCACCAAACAGATAATTTCAAACAGTATACTCATGGTGCATGCATGAAATTCAGATTAAAATTAAATTAGCATTTATTGACCATTTCTTAGCAAAATATTTAATCATGAGTCACATTCTGCAGTCCTCAATTGCAAATTCTTTACTATTGTTTGGAAGTTTCTTGCAAACATTTCCCCAAGTGCCAGGCCGGCTTTTCCGAGTATCGTTCGTAAGAAGAGATAGCTGAAAGATAATCGATTTTTCGTCTATAAATACTGAATTTTGCTAGCTACAAATGTACTTCATCACTAAAAAAAAAACATTCATTCTTAGTTGTTTTTTTTTCGCAAAATTAATTAATTCATAAATCAGATTAATCATGGCGAATCAGATTATCTTATTGATCAGCGTTATAGCCCTTTCGTTTGCGTTGGTCGCATTCGCATTTGAGCCGAGTCCGTTGCAAGATTTCTGTGTCGCAGATTCACTTAGCTCGGGTAAAACTACTCATTTTCTACTACTTTCTAGAAATTTTCGACTGGTTTTCGATTAGTACTAAACATACATTATATACAATATATACATATATATATGAAATTGTGTGTGTTTAATTTTTCAGCAAGAGTGAATGGGCAAGCATGTAAGAACCCTGCATCAGTTGGAGCAAGCGATTTCTCCTTCAGCGGGCTCCACTTACCCGGAAACACATCAAACCCTAACGGCTCGAAAGTGACACCTGTCACAGTATCGCAACTGCCAGGCCTCAACACGCTCGGAATCTCCATGGTCCGTATCGACTACGCACCGTGGGGTACTAATCCTCCGCACACTCACCCAAGAGCCACTGAGATCCTGACAGTTGTTGAAGGCTCGATCCAGGTCGGGTTCGTGACGTCAAATCCCGGAAATGCCCTTATTACAAAGACCCTCCAGAAGGGTGATGTGTTCGTTTTTCCGGTGGGGCTCGTGCATTTTCAGAGAAACGTCGGGAACGGAAACGCCGTTGCTATAGCGGCGTTGAGCAGTCAGAATCCTGGAGTGATTACTGTCGCTAATGCTGTTTTCGGATCTAATCCCGCTATTAGTGCTGATATTCTTGCTAAGGCGTTTCAGGTTGATACGAGTGTTGTCGATCAACTACAAGCAAAGTTCTAGAAATGGCATCAACTGGGAATATTCCGTCGCTTCTGATCAAGTTTCCATGCTTTGTTTATTGTTGTTGAATTTTTTTATTTTTTTTTCGTGTGTGACATAATTTGTAAGTTTCAGTTGTTTGGTTTTCGAATTTGACAATTTTTATTGAGTAGCGTACTAGCGATTCTTCGTCGTAATTTTGTTTAAGTTCTTTTCGATCTATATAATGCAAGAATCTTCAGTTGCTGTAATAAAAACACAAAAAGAGCTAAAGAAAAACAATTATAAAAAAAAAAAGAAAATCAAAATGTAATTACAGAATTTGTATGTCTAAAAATCAATTTTTCTAGAATAAAGTTTCAGCAAAAAGGAAATTTAGGAAGATCTGTTATGTGAAATGTACAGTGATTAGTACAATAAGAAATCTAGAGAAAAACTGCGGTAAGTGGGACCCGTATTTTCGCTTACTAATCGAACTGAGTCCCGAAACTGAGAGCATGGCACTCGAGATTCTTCAAGTTCATCTGCACAGTCAGGAAAATATGAAATAAATTAAGTTTCATATTCATCAGATTTCTTGCAATGTGTTTTTTTATTATTTAATAATATTTTTTTCCGGAACTTACCACCACGGCGGTTCCTGTTTCAGCGAATCTAGGAATTGAAATGAGCCTCACCACCTGGTTGTCCGATCCTGCAGTTTAATTTAACGCAGCCAATTATATTTATATCCTTTCAATAGTTTCAACGACGAATAATAAAATAAAGAAATCTTACCCTGGATCAAGCTAGTCACGTATTTATCTTGATTACCGATAAAATATACATGAGGACACGCCTCAACGAAAAATGGATCTCTATCGGTAAAAGGATAACACCCTGCATAAACAAAACGCTGAGTTCGAACATACGAAATTACGGAATGAATATAAAAAAAAAATTTAGAAAGATAACATTTTTATTTTAGAAACGACAAAAGCCTTACCTAGCGTATTTGGCGATGTTGGAGCCATGTGCCTCCATTTCAATGTCCTTTCCAAGAAGTCAATTCTACTCGAGGCATCAGAATATATTGCAAGATTATCGATGTTTTGTCCTGATGTACCAAGAAACCTACGGAAAGCAACTAGAATTAGAAACTTATTTATTATTTTTTATTTAAAAAAAACGAGAAGAAGAAGAAAGAGAGCGTATCTTACCTGACATTGTCCAGCTCAAAGGAATGAGGGTTAGTGCAAGATCTGAAAGTGTTATAAGCGGCCGATCCAGGAAAAAGGCATTTGTGCAGAGGCTTACGAGTAATAAAAAAAATAAAAAATGAAGTTAGTAATTATTAATACAGTCAGCAAAATTCGATAAATTGAAAAAGATACCTGTTGCGGCAAAGCGAAATTTGCAGGGTCACTTGTTCCTGGCATTATATCTAAAGGTATGCCTGCAGCAATCTGAGTCAGAAGGATATCGAGTTCTTTTGTGGGTTCTGATAGTTTAGACTGTTCTTTCGAACCCAAGTTCTGCAATAATACAGATAATATAAAGATTAGTACCTACAAAATACGTTGACGGCAGGAAATTTCTTCTTACGATAAACTTTTTGAGGATCGAAGAAATTACCTGACCGTTGAAAAGCCCACGAGGAAACTCGACAGAATTACCAGCTATGACAACTTGAACGATTTTAGCTGCAATGCCTTGTTCCTGTTGCAACGGGAAATTATAACTTGTGCAATATTAGATAGATTATTAAATTATTAGAATTTATGAAGGGCAAAACACTTTAACCAAAAAATGAAACCTTTTCATCCCCTAAATGTCCAGTTATATGGTCGACAAAAAGCTGAAACTGGAGAGGATTTGCAGAGCTGCTGCCCACACTCAACCCCGATACAAAAACAACATATTTATCGTCACCTGTTACAAAAATAACATATTTACCCCAGGAAAATTTATAATCCCAAATCTCGAGACCTCAAAATAAAAATGCTTAAATAAGTTAAAACTCACCATTTGGATTAAGTGGACGATCTATTTGGGGAGGAAGGCCAGCTTCTAATATATCTTCAACCATAAAATCTCCTGCCCCGGTTTCTTTTCCATGCAACGCAACCACTAGACCTATAAAAGATCGTACAAAATTTATTAAATCAAACGTTCACCTAATTTCCTCTATAATAGCAAGTAGTCGGCTTTACCTGTTACATATACAGAAGGTACAAGAATTGTGCCACGGAGTTTAACTCTTCCACTCTCGTCTTCAAGTATTAGATAATCGTCTGAGTGCATGAAGTTATGTGGTTTCACAAGTGGGCTCGCTGACCTCTGAATTCAATACAGATAGTTGACTCAATATGGAGAATTTGAGCTTAAAATGGTCAAAAACAGAAAAAAGAGAGAGAGAGAAATTACAGACAGTTGACTAATAATATTTCCGTACCTCCTTTGAATACTCATCGAGTATGGTAGGTTTAAGCTTCATGTGCTTGAAAAGGGTTCCGACAATAATGCACTCTTTTCCTTGTTCCAGTCCTAACACAGTACAAACTGCAGCATATAAAAGTGTAAGGTTTACTGAATACTGCTACATACAAGTTGAAATTTTTGTGAAGTGCTACGATAAAACGCACAGACCAACATATTCAAGAACAGAGATTCATAACTAAGTTTGGGAATTCTAGAACAAGGAAAATCAAATTTATTTTGTCCCTCAAAATTTACCAAGAATCGGGGACCACTATTATGTTCATCCCTCTGCAAATAACCGATTGAAAGAAACTTTTAAGTGAATCTAAAAACCAAAACATAACAAAGATTAAGACGCAAGAAGCTTTCAGTTACTATCTACCATAGCTGAACCAGCAAATCGTTCAATATGATTTCACTAGAAAAAGTCACACCAAAACAGGACAAAGAAGCAGGAAAGATGGCTACTCATCTCCCCGTTTTTTTCCCCTCGTGTTCCATCCTTCGTGTTACCAATATATACAGTAAAAAATAGTATCCAAACTGATCTTAGATGAAATATAGCAGTTCCAAGTACATTTGACCAAAATTTCGCAAAAAAAAAAAAAAAAAACAGATTGCAAAATCTATTAATTAATCGAAAGCTTAATCAACTTGAACCCAAGAAAACCACAATAAATTTGCTTCAATAAAATTCTAACTATTTCAGACAAATTATTAACTCACTACAAAAAAAAGAAAAAAGGAAAAAAAGGAAAATCACTAGTAAGGAAATGCAAGGTAATTGTATGAAAATAATAAATTCAGAAACTTGAGATGAAAATGACCTAGAATTTATAAATAAAGAAGGATACCTACCTGGCAAATGAGGTTTCCAGGTGGGGATGAGAGAGTAAAGGAGAGTTCTCATAAGATGAAGTCTTGCAAAGTATATTTGACTGTACTGTTGCCCTCTGTACATCTCCTTCTGTATCTCAAAGCTCTCATCCTGCAAATCAATTATGTAAAATTATCCCCAAAAAAAAAAGAGGGGAAAAATTTGCAGAAGTGGAAATCGAGAAAAAATGGCAGAAAATGGAGAATTGTTTCTGGTTTTTTACCAGAGATTTGTAGATGGATTGTTTTCTCTCGACGACGCCGTTTCCTGAGTCGACTTCCATCGGTGCTGCTCCCATGGCGGATGGCGGGAAAATTCGCTGTACTGTGACGAATAATTAATTTGGCCCTAGATTATAAAGAGGTCGAGTTAGGCAGGGGTAGCAATTACAAAAATGGAAAAGAAAAGGGACTAAAGTGTAAATAGTATGTTTATTCATTAATTACAGTTTGACCAAGCAGCCTTCCATGAAATTTCTTCGACTGTATAACCAAAATTCGTGAAGAAACCCCAAAAAGCAAAAAACTTGGTGGTGGGGTTTTTCAAGTAAGGAGATGGACACTCACTCGCGCTTCCCACGCGCCGATAATCGGAACGATGCGTTTGACCACCGTACGCCCGCCGCCGATTCTCCGAGATCGTACACCGGCGATATCAATTTCGGGGAAAGCACGGATCGCCGATTCGCATTCTCCCGTCAATCTTCGTTGCACCAAAAGGCCGCCGCGGAGCCTCACACGCCGCGGCCTTTCCTCTCGCGCAGCGTCTCCTGCATAGATATTCCGCCGGGCAGTTACCCGCCGGACTCTGGGGTTTCGTACCTGAAGGAGATTGATGATAGGTTCTCGGCGTTTTCGTTTGTTTCGTTGATTTTGGGCGGATTGAGGTCTGGAAACAAGCAGATGAGGCGATTGTTCGTGTTGATCTCGCTTAATGTTGCTTATTCGACTGCTGAATTGTTTATTGGCCTATTTTCGGGACGAATTGGTATGAATGAATGAATGATTAGCTTTGTTTTGGTACTTTTGTTTCACTGTCAAATTTTCATGATGTTTGGGTAGCAATAATTGATTTATTAAAGGAGTAATGAGCTTCGATTCTTTCTCCAAATTCGTTTAGAAGGATACGATCTTCGAAGATTTATGGTTCCGAACTGCATTGCATGTAGAACAAGTACAATGAATTCTGATTATTGCATTTGCACTTTATCTTTGTTTGTAGAGTTTTATAAATCCTTTGCCAAATCAACTATCAAATGACTTGTCGAGTAAATGACAAGAGATAGATTTCTTTGTTGAATTTTTTAGAGATTTATATCTTCTTAAATCTACATTTTGTATTGATGTGATTTCAGGGTTGGTATCCGATGCATTTCATTTGACATTCGGGTGTGGTCTCTTGTCATTTTCGTTGTTCGCAATGGCTGCTTCTGGACAACGGCCTGATCGCACATACACATATGGGTAGGATTTGATACGTCTATCTTGTACCCTCCTTAACAGAATTAGTTAACCTTTACTCAGTGTGTTTTGATGCAGTTTTATGTGACAATAGAGGCGTTAATTGTATTAAAAAAAAATTATTTATTAAGTTGAGTAACGTCACGTTTATATGCACAAAATTCATTTATTTCCTCTTGTTTTACTCAACAGGTATAAAAGGCTAGAAGTTTTATCTGCGTTTACCAATGCTGTAAGTACTCTGTGTCTGTACTTATCTGTTGATTGTGAATTCTTAATGTTGTGTCTTGTTGAAAAAATGTTGGAATTCGCAATAATTTTTACAGTTTGTTGTCTTTGAGTTTTGTGTAACGAGTTCGTATAATATTGTGCATAATAAACTCCGTTTCTGCCTCTCTCCCTCGCCCTCACTCACTCACTGTGTGGTGCTTGTGTAGACAGCTATTTCTTTTGTTTATGTCATTCTCCTTAGCTGTGGAAGCACTTCACGCGTTCATACAAGATGAATCTGAGCACAAGTAAGTTTTCATTTTATTTTGTTGCTATATATTCGAAAATGTATACAAAAATAGGAAATGAAGAAAAATATAGTGCACATGCCAATTCTGTACGGGTTGCTCTACCACATGTTCGAGTGAAAGCTCTGTTGTATTTAATTATGTTATCATTATCTGCATTCTCTTTTTTATATTCAAATAGTTAGTTTATCTATATGTTAATATTGGTTTCTGATCTGTTTTTAGGCATTACTTGATCGTCTCAGCTGTCACAAATTTGCTGGTAAATCTTATCGGCATTTGGTTCTTCAGGAACTACGCCCGAGTTAATCTTGGTGCGCTAAATTTCATATTTTTCGTGTTTTACTTTTAAAATTTTCCTTGAAATTCTCGTTTTATTGTTTACATTTCTGTATTACTTAATTATGTAACATGGGTGTTTCTATTTTCTCCTGCAGCGTACAGAAAAGCCGAAGATATGAACTATCACTCTGTTTGCTTACATGTTATAGCTGATTCCATTCGCAGGTATGAGAAAAAACGCATACGTAATTGTTTTCATTATTTTCTGGAAAAAATAATTCTGTGTTGGTAACTGTACTTTTAGTATATTAAGCTGCTGTAATTGTTTTCTCAGTGCAGGGCTAATTCTCGCATCGTGGATGCTTAGCCTTGGGTAATTTGATTCAATCGAACACAGATATGTTTTAATTACAGTTCTATTCACTAATCGCAACAATGCAGAGCTGTTTTATTAATTGTTTTACCTTATTATTGATGTGTAGGGTTAAAAATGCTGAAGTACTGTGTTTGGGACTAGTTTCATTCACAGTTTTCATGATTGTGATGCCTCTTTTTAAAGCATCGGGTGGTGTTTTGCTACAGATGGCACCCCCTAGTGTTCCCTCTTCAGCTTTGAGCAAATGCCGCAGACAGGTAGATGTCAATTACGCACACACACACACACACGCACACGCACACGCGCACACACACACACACACACATACACGCACTATATATATATAGTGCTGAGTCATATTCGAGAATGTGGGTTCATGCGAATGTGTTATAATTTATTAGGTTAGTTCGCGGGAAGACGTTGAAGAGGTTTCTCAGGCTCGTTTCTGGGAAGTAGTGCCAGGTCATGTTGTTGGATCTATTTCACTACAGGTATGGATAGGAACATTGATGATCTGATTAATATTACATAAACCCGAGATGAAAGATTGAACTTGTTTTTTTCATTACTTTGATCTCGATTGTTGGACGCATCCAGGTGAAATCGGGAATGGATGATCAGCCGATACTCCAATATGTTCATGGTGTGTACCATGAACTCGGAGTACAGGATTTGACTGTACAAACTGAATATGCTTGACTCACCTTTACAAACCCTTTGATCAGTTTAAAGAATATGATACAGCTGTAAGAACTTGATGTAGTAACGAGTAGATTCTTGATCTCGTTTTAGTTTTTATCTTGTAATTATTTGACAATTTTGTAGATTTTATAATATTTGGTTGTGTTGCGCAGCAACACTGGTTTATGAATAAGTGTAATAAAACATAATTGAATTTTAGATGTTTCTTATTTCCTTTTTGGTTCCTTTTTTTTCTTAAATATAGAATTCCATAAAATTGGAATTAAAATTGATTTTTTAATTCCATAATTGCAAAAACTCCATAAATTGTATAAATTTTAATTTTTTTGAAAATTTTAGAACTGATTTTTAAATTCAAAAAAAGGCTAAAATTTTCCAACGTGCACAATTAAACAAAAAACCAAAGCCAAAGTGCAGCATAGAATATAAATCAATTTTCATCATCATCATTTTCTGGGAAACAAGAAGCATTCTGGTGTCTGAGTTTTCAAACTATTTGAGCTTTTTCAATCCTCGACTTGAAGAAGCACGATTTTGCCATGCTACGAACCACACAGACACAGTTATGTTTGTTACAGAAATATTATCGCGTGTTAATAGTGCATTCCTATTACTTATTTCTATGACATTTATACAACACAAAAACTAGTCACCATGCACTAAAGTTTTATTGTATATAACACTCGAAAAATACCAACAGCAAGAAGCGGAAGTTCTCCAGTAGAGCAACAACGCTGCTACTTCTTCCCGAGTTGACTGTTGAGAAACTCCAGTACCGAAAGGCGCTGCAACCAATAAGACCTCTAATCAAATTCAAATTTTAAAGAAATTCGATCTGCTATATTTTACACGAGTATTCGAATAGTGAAAAAAAAATACTAATTCATACCCGTTGTTCGAGGCTAACATCTTCAGCCTTTACCGTTAACGATTCCAACAATTTAATAGCCTCTTGAAAATTAGCTGTTGCTTTATCCTCATTCTCCAGATTTTTATCCACGTCAGCGACTTTAGCAAGAGATATAGCCACATCTATGACCTAGATTTACGAGAAATGTCGAAAGTGAATTACAAGGAAAAAGCAGAGTTATGATTTTAATTTTCAACAAAAAAAATAAAAAATAAAAAACCCCATGATTATAACTGTTGCATCACTATTCTAATACCGAGTTAGTACTTAAATCAAGAAGGCACATGTAAATACATATAAGCAAGAATTTAGTGTATAGGCAAAGAGCCCCTAATTAGAAGATGTTGTTTATTTACCTATTCTCCCAAGATTCAATCCATCGATCCAGTTCTAAAATTATTCCATTTTATCGAGTGATAAATACGCCAAAAGATTCCATTTTAAGACTATATATACCACAGAAAAAATAGCATAAAAGGTTTTTGAAGTTTGCTCACTTGAGAAGGAACGGCTGAATGATGGTTGATAGCATTTCGGCGAACATCCAAAGCCTGGAAATAATACGACCGTGCAGCACTTAAATCCCCCTCATAGTATTTCAGGTCTCCAATTTTATTCAACGAAACCGAAAGTGTATGTGTTATCTGCACATATTAAAAAAAAAAAAAAAACAGACATTACATCGAGCCGCGTTTTTTAAAGAAAGTAATGTTAATAATTTCGAAGCTGAAAAAGTCATAAGCACCTACCTCCAAATCATCCTTGGGCAATTTCATAAGGAAATTGACACTTTCTTCAAAGTAGGAAATTGCGGAACTAGCATCCCCGGTACTTCGACTGTTATAACCAGAAAACCCAATATAATGATTTTCAATTCAATAGAGTTTCCCGAAACAATAATATTGAATAACAAATAAATTGGGATGACGTACCAGCAGTCACCAAGCATACCAAAAACGGCACCAAGCTGAGAGCATAACTCAGGGGTATTTCCTGTCATTTCCAATTGTTCTCTAACATCTTCGGCACACACACTAAGTCTTGATTTTGCACTTTCTATGTTATTAGCACGAAGTGCCTATACATAAAACATAAGAAACAATAATTAATCGCAAGTGGGGCAAGACACAAAAGCTAATTGAGCAATTTTATGTGGAAGAAGAAGATAGTAAGAGTCTAAAATTTGTGTTAAATTATGCTTCATTCGGTTGGTAAAATAAGTCATGATTAATTTAATGAGCTTTATCTATTCCAATTATACAATTGGATTATCTTGGCTAATTTTATCTTTGAAACCAAACACTCACCCTCATAGCCTGCTGCATCAAGAAAGAGCCTCGTTCGACTGAAACATCCTCGTATATTATTTGTTTCTTGTCACCTTCCTTGTCACTATCAACTTGTGACCTCTTAATCCTTGCATGACCTTCGATGAAACGATCGACAACACTCTGAAGATCCAAATCATCCTCGATTTTCTCAATGTCGGCACCGCATAAAGGACAATCCTTGAACCTTGAAATGCATGCTCTGTTTTTTTTTTTCAATAAAAAGGGGCTCGTCAAAGAAAGCAACGTTGGCATATAAAATGCTCAAAAGAGAGAACACATTTTCACTTACTTGCAATATACATGGGAACAAGGCATGCATTTGCTGCACTGGAAAAGAAGTGCTTGGCATATCATGCAGCTGAGAGGGCCTAATTTAAATGTCTGAGAATCGTATCCGAAAGGGCATTTTGGGGAAATTGCACCTTCTTGTTGAGACTTGCTATCGTTGACTGTCTGCTGTTTATTTTGGTTTTCACCGGGTCTCTTGCACGATGCATCATCGGGGCGAGAAGCCTTTGTAAAAGGACAAACAGGTGTCATCTTTGATTTTTTAACCTGCATCAAGAAAATGATTATACTTCCTGAATTACAAGTAATATACATTCTAAAGCCTAACGTAATTGTATTTAGATAACCATGATCGCTTCGGAATTAAGATAAAAGAAGCTCGTGCTGAAACTTATACACAGTTATCCACCGATTCTAAAAGCTAGGAATAACCCAATCTCTCGTTTTACAAGAAGATGCACCGCAGGCCCGCAACCTAAATATAAGTTCGAAAAAATTCACAATATCGGACGAATACAAAATTAGCACGCCGCACAACTTCTTTTGCAATCAATCAAGAAAACATATGCATACAATACATCCAATTATCTAAATATCTACCAAATGCATGCCTAATCTCATCTAAGGTATGCTATCTTGATTATATTGCTCAACAACCGGTAATCAAAAGTAACTGTAGCTCAATCGGAAATATCATTTATCAGAACCTAAAATCAGATAGAATCCACCCATAAATTGCCATCATTTCTAAGTCAATAATAGCCCAATAGCACACTTGCAGAAGTCTCCACTTTAGGTTAAGAAAATCCTAATTAAATTTATGACTTTTGAGCTAAGAAAACTCTTTCTTCATGACAAACCAATGAAAACAACAACAAATGGAGGCATTACTGATACCAATTCAATAAATTCTGCAATCCCGATTCGAAATTGAGAAAAAATAACGCCAGCACTCAATCAAACAAGAATCGGATATTGAAATCAAATAAATGAGAAAGTCAGATACAAAAAATAAATAATTATTGCGCACGAATAGGGTAATCGCCATCGCCACATACCTGAATTTTTCACCTTTAATTGGAATTTTTTTCCGTTTTGTTTCAGATTGTTTGATTGTTTGATTACCAGAGTATAACAACACTAAATTTGTGTGGTCTAAATGGGGAAATATTCTCAAAGTATCAGAGCCTGGAAGAGAGAGAAATGGAATGGGTTGAGAAGGTGGAGAAATATGTGATGACTGATGAGAGAGAAACTCTTCTTTTTTAAAATATTTATTTATCATTATTTCTTGTTGTGTAAATTTTGATTTTATCCATAAATAATTAAATATAAAGACTATTTCCAGTTGGGCCTAAAATCCAGTGGCCCAATTATTTATATCCACTTATAATGGGCCATCCTTTCAAACTATAATATTTTGTCCAAACTTCGGCCCAATTAATAAAATTTAGAAAGCAAACTAATTAAAATGTATTTTAATATTAATAGGGATGTAACAGAGAGCTGCACGGCGAAGAGCCCATCGCGGCTGAGGACGTCTTGGTGTGGAGCCAGCGCTACATGGATTCGATTTCGACCCGACGAGGGTGTTATCAAAGTCAATTTCGATGCGGCGATTCCAAGGGGGGAAGATTACTACTCGGTGGCTAGCTATGGTTGCCCGGGACTGGAATGACGTATCTCTCTGGTGGGCTGTTAGACCAATTAAAGGACGTCCTAAAGTTATGGAATGCGAAGCACGTGCGGCGCCCGAAGCAATGATGCAAGGCTCAGGCTCAGGGTTGCTACTCTATTGTGTTGGAGGGGGATAGCCTCCAAGTGATCGAATCTCTCAAAACCGGAATATCTCCAATGTCTTCTTATGGTGCATTTATAGAAAATATTTAGCGATGGCTGGTTCATTTCACTTTTGCGAATTTTCTTTTGTTAAGCGATCCAGAAATCAATTAGCTTATGGATTAGCCTCTAGCTTTGATTTATTTAAGGTGTAATGAAGGTCCTACCCTTCCTTCTGCTTTAGCTTTTTATGCCCAATAAATGTCTCTTCCTTTCAAAAAAAAAAAAGGGATGTAAATGAATCGAAACGAGTTGAACGTTTGTTTGAGTTTATTTGAATTTTTATCGAGCTTTTTAAAATTGAGTTTAGGTTTGTTTTGATAAGCAATCGTTTCGAGCTGAAACAAGCTTCAATCAAGCTGAATGCGAATCGAGGTTGAATAGTATGTTTTTTTTTTCTTTTTCTTTTCTAATTGATAAGCTCGAGATTGAGTCGAGCTTAACAACTTATCAAATTAAATAAAAAATACAATATGATTTTCATTTAAGAACAAAAATCCGCTTTGAGGTTTGGCATTATTGAAAATAAAATTAAATACAAAACAAATACGTAGAATAACATTTAATCAAGGCATATAATACATGAAAATATATTTTAAAAAAAAATACATACATACATACATACGTAATTACAATGCTAAGTTGTTTATTAATCCACCACTAATCTGGGTTTAAACATGGAGTAATTATTAATAAGGATTGTAAGCAATCATGTTTGCCAATGCGTGAGCCATGTTATACTCCATCCTCATCTGAGCAATTCCGAGCATGATTTCCTCCGGCGTAAGCTCCGCCTCCTGCGGTGGTGTCTGATTCGCCGCCGGACGAGCGACGGCCGGAGTTTGATTCTCCGGCTGATTATCCCCATAAAACCCCGGTTTCACCTCGCTCGTAGCGCAAAAAGTATGAACCCTAAAATCGCACTCTGGCTTCTCGCACGCGTAAGACCAATTCTTACAGCTCAATTCCTTCCGGCACAGTTTGCAGAAATCCGGACTGTGTGGCTTCTCAGGTGTCAATCCGAGATGCACTTCGTGGTGGTGTGCGTTGTGGATCACCGTCGGCGGCAAAAACGCGCAGTTGATGTGTAGATCCACCTCGCAGAGCGGGCACGAGTATGAGAAGGCGGTTCCCGGCGAGCCGCAGGCGTCGCAGATGAACGCGCCGCTGCAGTAGGTTGGGATCGGGACGAGCACGAGTGGGTGGGTGGGATGGGAGGGGTGCTTCACGTACCGATTCGCGTTTCCGCAGTGCTCGTGGAGGAAGAATTTGCAGCTCCAGCAGGTAAAAATCGAGTCTTTTACGCATGGTAAATTGCATCCGTTGCACTGAAATTGCTCCCCTGGTTGAATTTTGTGGAGAATCAAAGGGTGCTGGTGGCTAAAATGCTTGTACTCCATTTTTTTTTTTTTTGTTGTTTTCCCCCTTTCCTTCAATTTGTGATGGTTTTAGTTTCTTTCTTGGAGGAATAAGTGAATTTAACAAGCTATTACATGTTTTAACGAGTCAATTCTTGTGTAACAAGTCATGAGATTTGGTGAAAAACTGATGACAAATTGTAATTTTTTGCAGAAAAATATTAGGCATTGACTTGAGAGATCATTACATACCAACCACTACATTTTGTAGAAGGATTCTTTATTAATCCACCATCAGCAAAGAATTGACTTCCAAGATTTGAAAAAAAGAACGGGACTAATTTTTCGGCGGAGCAAACATCTGATTCAATTGTTGAGCCATTTGCATCTGCATCTGAATTTTAAACATCTCAGCAAGAACATCCTCAGCTGTCGGGGCACTGTCCGAAGCCGGGGCCTGCACTTCGCTGTCCGGTTCATCGTCCACATACTGACTCGGGTTCACCTCAGTAGTACCACAAAACGTATGAACCCTAAAATCGCACTCCTCTTTATCGCAAACGTATCTCCAGTACTTACAAGACACCTCATTCGAGCAGATCTTGCAGTACTGTGTGGGGGCCTCGGTGATCTGCGATCCAAGTCTGAGAAACAGCTCGTGCGGGTGGTTGACGTGGCTCACTTTCAGAGGCAAGTACGCGCACGGCACGTGGAGGTCGATTTCGCAGAGTGGGCAGCAGTAGGATAGGGCGGTGCCGGGCCTACCGCAGCAGTTGCAAAGGAAGGTGGCGCTGCAGTAGGTGGGGGCCACCATGAGTACGAGTGGGTGCGGCGCGTGTGCTGGGTGTTTCACGTACCTGTTGGCATTGCCACAGTGCTCGTGGAGGAAGAAGCTGCACATCCAGCACGCGAAAATGGAGTCCTTCTGGCAGGGTAAATGGCAGCCGTTGCATTGGAATTGCTGACCTGGCTCTACTCTGTAGAGGGTTAAGTTGTGCTGGTGGCTGAAATGTTTGTACTCCATTCTTTTTCTGGTTCTTCTGATTGAGAAAATATGTATTTATATATAATGGAAAGTCAAAGAGAAGACCATTTCAGTTTGGTGGGGATAAAAATGGTGGCCTGGTTAATCTTATTACAGAATATTAGGGAGTTGACTTGGACGGAAACTTCACAGAAGTACAGGCTTGCATGTAAGTTGACTTTAAAGCGGCATCTCAGGTCAACCATCTCTATTTGCTTGGTTGTTGTCATATGTATTCTACACGTTTTGTCAACTGTTATATTCTTGATTCTAGGCAATAACATGTGCAAATGAAGACTGAATATCTATGGCTAATAAATCGTGGAGGAATTGAGGTATATTAAAGAAAAAATCGATTTTGGTACGAGAATTGATAAATCGGCCTGCTGCAAATCAAGACTTGGTCATCTATAGCTGGTTTTTGGTATATATTTAATTGCAGAAGCTTACATTTGGTTGTTTCTTGTGATTCTCTTGGTTCTATCACTACATGCTTGACAAATGGATAACAGTGAACCGCAAAACGAAATGAATGATCACAATATAAATATTCGCCTAAATTTAGTCTTAAATCTTCACACGAAAAAGACGAACTTCTATTTCTTTTTGATTGATTTTTTTGCCAGCGTGAGGATTGAAAAAGAAGATGGAAGAGCCATCGGAGTACTCAAAACATTTTAGTCATGAACATTCACTAGAGTACGTCAAATCGAGTTATGATGGAGATTGTATTTGTTCGGGATGTGAAATTACTATTACGCCCAACAAATTCTTCTATCACTGCAGAGATTGCAAATTCTCCCTCCACAGGGTATGTTACGGTATGCCTAAAAAGGTCATGCACCCCGCGGACCCGCACCATCACCTCACCCTGTTGTCACCCTCGTCGCTCACAGACCAATCAAATGAATGCGGAGCTTGTGGAAGGTGCATTAATGGCAGCTTCTATTACACCTGCAGAAAATGCTGTATTTACTTTCACATGTTGTGTGTAGCAATGCCTCTATCGATGAAAATTCCGATTTCGCACCCTCATGTACTCAAGCTGGAGATGAAACCTCCGTACGGTTTCAAGTGTGGTTTGTGTGACAGAGGTAGCTGTAGCGGGTGGCTTTATCGTTGTCGGTTATGTGAGTTTGACGCACATGTTTCATGTGCCGTCACTTACAATAAGTATGACAGCATGGGCGATGATAAATATTCTCACCAGGATGAATTGATGGAGCTGCTTTCGCAGGGAATGAAGGGCATTATCGTCAACGAGGAAAAAGTTCTCGATCAGGAACAGATTCAACAGTCGGATCAGTCGATCTTGATTTCTGAAAACTTCACTTTGCCAAGTTATAATTTCAGCGATGCGTGTTTTTCTATCGATATTGTGAAGCCTATTGCTGTAGAGGGAAAGACAAACGAGGCTTTGAATTATCGAGTTAAGCAATATATTAATGAAAAATTTGATGCATTGGATGCAACTAATGATGGGATGAAGTCGAAAGATCAGACAGCAGAAATAGAGAATGTAAGAATTTGGTTATCTTTGTTTTAGCACACTTATTTGCTCAACCATTGACAAGAAAATTGCAGCAGCTCGATTATTTACAGACAATTCGCATTTTCTTTCCGACTTTTTTTTTTCAGGTGATTTCGAGGCGTCCGTTTTGGTGTAAACTTTTTGTCTGCTCGTGATATGTCCGAGAGGTCGGAAGCTGCTTCGATCTCTATAGGGCAGAACATGAAATTGAATTAAAGAAACAGTTTTTAATTATCACTGTAACATACAATTTTAATGTGCTTTGGTTAATGTAAGATAATTGTTTTATGCAAGAAGAATAAAAAGATATATTGAATTGAGAAGTGGCTATTGAATTGTTTTGATACTCATCAATTTTTTTTTTCTAGCTATAGGATTCTAATCCAAACGAATAATGCCCACATTACATTCATAAATAAAATTTATTATTTTCATTTCTTAGAAAATAATTTTATTTAAATTTATTGTATTTATGTGCGAAATTCCTTCAAATTTATGTGGACATAAAATAATAAATATTAATGTCTAAAACTAAGCCCACTCTTGTCTGAGATTGTTGGGCCTAATTAATACTCCATCCGTTCCTTTATAAGTGTCGTTTTTAGCTTATGCACAAGGATTAAGGATCTCAATAAATGTTGCTTAATTTTAGAAAAATATATGTTCTTATACTAAAATGCCCTTGCCAATAATTAATGAGAGAAAGTGTTGAAGATAGGTAATAAGGGTAAAATTGATAATTACACAATTAATGCAGTGTTGGAAATGTAAAGTGACAGGTAATATGGAACAAAAATAATTTTAAAAAGAGACAGTTATTGTGGAACAGAGGGAGTATAAAATGGGCCGAACTACCTTCAATAGATATCCAAATAAATGTACTATGTGACAAATTTTATTTTATTTTTATTTTTTATCTTATTTTTGTTGCCGAGTAATTTTAAAAATGTTTTACAAGATTTTTATAAACTTGCTACAAATTAAACCTCTCCATTCTCTATTGCACTTATACATATTAGAAGTACCTAGAATGTTTATGTAGTGCTCTACAAAGTCACCCTAAAAGTATATTTTGAATCAATCACTACCGTCTTCAATATCTTTCGAAATTATTAAATATAGAATGCTTATGTAGTACTCTTTAATATCATTTAATAACTAATTTAAAACTAATATGGTGTATACTCGACTTAGGTGACCATGGGAAGCCATGCTCATATGAATCGTTTGTACGCTATTAGATCCAATTCAACAATCGCCAATGTCTTAGGTTCGATTTTGGTTGGAAATGCACACTTGGTTTAACCATTGACGATAGGTTCAATTTTGGTTGGAAAGGCACACTCGGTTTAACCATTGACGAAAGTTTTCTCCAATCAACATATTTTAACTTATGTGTACTACCATAATCTTCTGGATGTGTAGTAATCTCAAAAATTTAGTGTCACTGCATTTATTAATCTACTTTCCTCATCAATTACTAAAACCGTCTATGTGTAACCGATGTTGGCAACAAGTATTTTTATATCCCAATACAATCCCAACAAGCAAGAACATCCAATCACTCTTCATCCTCGTAAATCAAACAAACATCCAACCACTCTTCATCCTCGTGAACCAAACAATATGTATGCTTCAATGTACCCAAAGACCTTTCTCCGGTTGTTGAATAGCCATCGCTAATAATTAATCCGGACATGTACATCGCATAATCCCTTGAACATTGGACAAAATTAAATTTAAAAACAAAAAGTATTTTTGGTCAGTAAAGTATAGTTGGAGGTAAAATTAGGTAATTTAATATTTATTTATAAGGTTTAATAATTAATTTTTAGTCGAGTACTTTGGTAAATGATAAATTAGGTGAGTTTTCATCCATGTTATTTTTTAAGGAGATCAAACCTTATTAAAGATGATTATAGCATATATTATATGATAAACGAGGTTAAAATGCCAAATGATGCTTTCATCAAATAAAAAATGGTAAATTACGGTCACCCCTGATGTAAGGTTAAAATTACGAAAAAAGATTCATCATATTTGGGTAATTACAGTCACCCCCTCAATGACGAATCTTCTTACATGTCTACCCTTGCAGTGTCAAATTTAGTGGAATATTCTAGATTATATGAAATATTTTCAAGTTCTACCTGTTTAATTTCATTCGAGCTCTCTACGTTTTGAAGTAAGATGATCATAAGATGTGTCTTTTGTCTTGTATATATCAGATTGTGGTGCTGGTGCATCAGAAACTGCATTTTTGTACAAAATGAGTACAAACTAGAGAACATTTCAAGGAATCTAGAAGATTATGTTGAATTTGACACCATAAGGGTGACCGTGTAAAAAAAAAATTATAGTTAAGAGGTAGTTACAATTCCTTAAACTTAAGGGGTTTTTTCGTAAATTGACATTACCTCGTAATTTGACATTCTCTTCATACAAAATGTATTATCACCTTCGGTTATTATCTCTCCTTCCCAACTCACCCCGGTAGCCGGTGACTCCCTCCCCCCCGGACCACCTCCCCCTCTCCTCTCTCTCTCTCTCTCACGTGCCCACCAGCTCCCGCACGTGCCATAAATCTCCAAGAAAATCCTTTCTATTTTCCCCTGTGTTTCTTATGAAAATTACTAAAATGTCACTCCTCCAGTTTAAATAATTATTAAAAATAAAAAATAAAAAACAACAAAAAATAAAATAATAAAAAATTCAAGACAACGAGAAAACATAGTCCACGACGCCAGCCACGATTTTTTATTTTATTAATAATTATTTAAACTGGGAGGGGTGGCTTTTTTGTAATTTTTTTTAAACTTAGATCAAACGGTGTTAAGATCAAAGGTCTGAAACTAACGGCGAGGGCCACATTAAGATAATTTTTCAAGTACAGGGGGGCAAATCGATGCAATTGAAACTAGAAGGGGGTAAAGTGATATCGAGCCAAAATACAAGGGGCAAATCAATGAATTGAGAGTAGATGGGGGTAAAGTGATATTGAACCAAAGTACAAGGGAGCAAATCGATGCAATTGAGAGTACATGGGAGTAAAGTGATATTCAACTAAAGTAAAGGGGTAAAGTGGAATTTATCATATGTTTTAGGGTAAATTACAAACACCCCCTGAGGTATGGTCATCAAATTACAAAAATCCCCCTCTTGTTTGGATAATTACATCTACCCCCTCAACTACGATTTTTTCTTACACCTCCACCCTTATTGTGCCAAATTCAACATAATCATCTAGATTATGTGGAATGTGCTCTAGTTTGTACTCGGTTTGTGTAAAAATACAGTTTTCGATGCACCACAAACTGATATATACAAGCTAAAAATCACATATTATGATCATCTTGCTTCATAATGTAGAGTTTGAATGGGATAAAACGGGTACACAAGTGATAATATTCCATAAAATCTCGAAGATTCCACTAAATTTGAGGAGTTGAGGGGTGGTTGTAATTATTCAAACAAGAGGGGTGTTTTTGTAATTTGACCATACCTCAGGTGGTGTTTGTAATTTACCCTATTTTTTTTAATTATATGAGTTTAAATGTTTTTAATACACGGGTATCTCATTGCAAAAGGATCCAACATAGCTATAGAAAAATGATAAACGGATTAAAATGTCAAATGATGCTTTTCATCATTTCCATAAAATAAAAAGTGTAATTTACGATCACGAGTGGTAATGTCAAATTACGAAAAACTATCTCATTTTTTGAGTAATTACAATCAACCATCAACTATAAATCTTCTTTCAGGTCCATTCTTGCGTTGTCAAATTTAGTAGAATCTTCTAAATTATATGGAATACTCTCAAGTTCGTCCCCGTTTTATCTAATTCGAGCTCCACATTTTGAAGCAAGATGATCATAAGATGTGTTTTTTGGCTTGTATACATTAGATTGTGGTGCATGAGAAACTGTATTTTTGCACAAAACGAGTACAAACTAGAGAACATTTCACGGAATCTAGAAGATATGTTGAATTCGATACCATAATGGTGAACGTATAAGAAGATTCAAAGTTGAAGGTAGTTATAATTACCCAAACATAAGGGTTTTTTTTCGTAATTCTACATTACCTCCGATGGGTAGTTGTAATTTACCGAGTAAAAAGAAATATCAAAATCGTGTTACACTATGTATTATCATCTTCCGTATCTTATCTCTCCTTCCCAACTCACCCCGGTAGGCGGTGACTCCCCCCGGACCACCTCCCCCTCTCCTCCCTCTCTCTCACACGTGCCTCACCAGCTCCCGCACGTGCTATAAATCTCCAAGAAAATCCTTTCTATTTTCCCTTGTGTTTCAAATTTTAATATTTCCTCTTTCTCTCTCTCACATAAACATATATCCTCATGCGTGTTGAGTGTGGTGCGGTGTGTGTGACTGTGTGTGTGTGTGTGGTGCAACAAATAAAAGTTAGAGAGAGAAAGAGAAAGAAAGAGAGAGATGTGTGGAGGATTATCCATACCAAAAATTATTTCATGGGGCATGTTTTCTTTGTGATCTATCTCTAGAAAACAATCTTCTTTCTAATTCCCATTATTTTTCTTGCACACACAAACACACACACACAATTATATGTGTGTGTGTGTATATATATATATATATATATCAATCATCAGTATATATGAGTGCACAGTTTTAATCAGTAAGCTATGAGGATCAGAAGGCGTTTGCCGCCATGTTCTTCAATCCCTACAGCAGCACCTCTTTCTTCAGATCTCCACCTCCAGCCATCACCGGCGCCGCCGCCATCCGATCAAAGCATGTCAATCTCAAGCAGAAACAACAGATGGGTTTTCCCTCAAACTGAAGAAGAGAAGATGAAGCAAAAGGTAAATTAAAATCTTTAATTAATAATGGGTTTCCAAAAAAATAAAAATCGCATCTTTACTACTATGTGTGACAGTCCCGGATAACTTTTTCAATGTGGCATAAACTGCACTTTTTTTTGGGGTTAAAAGTTGCACCAACTGCACATATATCACCAAGCACGCCTAGAAAATTTCTGCATTTAATTTAATTTAAATTTCTTCTCTATTTATTAATTTATTCATTTAATTATCTAGTTTCCTCTTTTTTTTCTGTTTTTTCTTTTTTTTTTTTTTTTTGGTTTTGTCAGAAGTTTGGAGATGATGAGACATATTGGAGTGTGGAAGCAAAGAAGATTAGTAATAATAATAATGATATACGGTAAGTATGTCAAGAAAGTGTGTGTGTGTGTGTGTGTGTGATATTTTCTTGATATATATATATATATATATATATATATATATATATATATATATTGAGAGTGGGAAAAATAAGAATTATGTGGT